TGGTATTAGGGTATTTATACACCACAGAATTGTCTGCTATAAAGAAGAACAAACACCTCTCTTAGACAAAAGGATACACACTGAAACCATTCTGTTAAGTGAAATAAATCAGATATACAAGTTTAAATAGTCCACAGTTTTCTTATATAAGAACTCAAAATATAAATAAAAGAGAAACATAAAAGATAGAAAAAAATAGACAGATCTTTTGCAAAAGGAGAAAGGGAAGAGAAGAGGGGGAGGAGAGATGGAGGGATGGGAGGGGACTTGAAATCTTTTGCTTGGTGCCACCTAGAGCCTGGCCAGGTCATTCCTCATCAATTTGCTGGCCCCCATATCATTCAGAGACACACCAGAACTGTGCTTTATTAATCTGCCAGAAATTTCCTACTCCAATCAAGCTGACACATCACAACGAATGCTCACAATAACCAAATATATTCATATGAAAATAGTATAATTTAAAAACATACTTAGCATCCAGGTCTGGTGATATGTCTTTAATCTCAGTACTCAGGAGGCTAAAGCAGGAGGATCCTTTTGAGTCTGAGGCCAGCTTGAGCTACATAGTGAGTTCAAGGGCAACCTGAACTGCATAGCAAAACCTTGTCTCAAAAAGACTATATATATATATATATATGAATATATATATATATATATGAATATATATATATATATATGAATATATATATATGAATATATATATATATATGAATATATATATATATGAATCATTGCAATTAAGAAAATATGTACAAATCCATCTCTGAAGTTTAAAATTTATATGACTTATAATGTCTTTTTAAAATAGTATTAGATTTCTTTGGCTTCTGAAAAGATGATGTGAGATAACATAATCAATAAAAACTACTCAATCTTTAATATCTAGAGTTGTGTTAGTGAATGAGCTGGCATATCCTAAAAGACTGCACCCTAAAAACACTTGCTCTTACGCTTAACTGTAAGTATTCAGAAGGACTATAAAATGGAGGAAAAGAGGAGGAAAGTTCTATAAAGGAAGAAGAGCCTGTTTCTATACAGATTTATGTTGTGTCAAGTGCTTAACTGGGATCTGATATATCTTATCACAGTAAATGCAACTGGCACTGGGTTCAGTAGATGTGTTTTGGAGGATTTGTCTCAGGATGTCAACCAGATTTTTTTTAAATTGTGCAAAATAAACAGGATATGAGTTTTACTTTACCAAATTTTAAGGGTATAGTATAGTTGTGTTAAGTATAAACAGCACTTTATAGCAGTTTCCCAGAACTTGCTTTTTATCTCAAATGACTAAATCCTTATTCCCACGCAATGATCACTTTACTCTTCCTCATGATGCCTGGCGCCCTCCATTCTGCATTCTATTCCTATGAATTGGGCTGCTTTAGAATAATACAGAATTTGCCATTTTATATTTGACATATTTCACTTATCGTAATGTGCCCAAGGGATGTTGTACCATGTATTGTTATATCGTGATATTCCACTTTTCCCTTATTCATCTGTGTGTGGACATTTAGGTTCCTTTCACCTCTTGGCTATTGTGGATAATCTTGCACTAACCACAAGTGTATTATTTCATTCAGACCCTGATTTCACTCCTTTTGGATACATGCCCAGCAGTGGGAGTACTGGCTCATATGGAAGGTATATTTTCAAAATAATTTTTGAAGAATTTGCATTCTGTTTTTCTTGATGTTTCAAAATTTTACATTCTCACAGAGAGTACATAAGTTTCCAATTTCTTTACTTTGTCAATGTTTATGTTTTGGTTTCAGTAACAGTCATTTTGTCATGTTTGAAGCCATACCTCATTGTGGTTTTGGTTGGCATTTCCCACTGATTTGTGATGTTGACACTTTTTCACATATCATTGGCATTACTGATTTGTTACATATAATATTTTTGCCCTTGAGGTATAGAAAGCATTGAAGATATTCACCCCTTATCAGACATACAGTTTTAAAATACTTTTGCCATCCTACAATTTTCCTTTCCACCAATTGTGCACTTTGCTGTGCTGAAGCCGTGGGTTTGATGGAGTGCCACCTGATTTTTAAATTTTTTTGGTGTATTATTCACGAAATCACTGGAATACTAAAGTCATGAAGTCTTCCCGGTTCTTTTTTCCTATTAATTTTGGTTTCCTATTATTTTCGTTTCATGTTTTACATGTATATAATTCTGTCTGCTGCACATGACTATTTTCCAAAACCAGTTTTTGAGCACATATCACTCAGTGTTATAGGTCTATCCCTTCTATTTTTCTTGAAGATTTCATTCATTTGTATTGACCTAATTTTTAAAATACTCAAACAAAATGAGTATTCTCTGCCCATTATTTATAATTTCATCATGTTAGTGCAAACATCCTCTGAGTCAAAACTGTGCATCTTTTTCTTATAATTTTTTGAAAGAAGGGAAAAATATAAGAAACACTCATTCACAGTTCTAAACATTGCTTTTGTTGTTCATGTTTGTGGTTGTTCCTTGGTTGGTGTATTGAAATTTAGTGGTAGTGCTGAAATTCTACTCTTTTGTCCAGAATATTATACTGTGCTTCTAGCTAAGTGCTAACTGAGGGTAAGCAGCCCCACTAGATGTGCTGAGTAAGTCTCTTGTCAGGAGCTCATTCAACAGGTGACACTTCTGAGCATGCAGGAATGGTTTTCGGGTTGTGATGGATGTCTCATTTCCCAGTTAACTTTTTATTGCATCTCTAGGACGTCAGCAAATATTCATTGAGGACTCAACTTGTCTATTTTCATTTTAGAAACCTTAGCAGAAACAGTTCTAGTGGTTTCTCTCCTAATACTCCAAGAACAAAATGAGTTCCAGAGCTGGAAATATGTAGTTGGGAGATTTTTTGTTATATTATGACCTCCCTGGATTACTTTCATGACAATCAAAGAAGTAAATCCTCTTTTTAATCTCTACTCTACTCCTATGTGTAGACTAAACTTTAAAATGTGCCCTTCAACCTGCCATAAGCTTTATAGATACAGAATTGAAGTAGTCCAGAAATAAGAAGCAGTAACTATTTTTGTGGATAGTCAATTCTTTTTCGGGGGTAACTGGAAGTGTAAATAGCATTCTTTTTGCCTGTCAGACAAATGATGTCATTTGATATTTCATGAAGCTGGAATAAAAACAGAGCCAAAGATCAACGGAATAGATTAGAAGATACAACCACAACTACAAACGTACTCAACCAACTTATCTTTGATAGGGGCCAAACATGTTCACAGGAAGAACAACAGTCTCTTTAATAAATAGTGTTGGAGAAACTGGCTCTCCATATGCCAAAAACTAAAACTAGACCCATGCCTATCACCACGTACTATCAAAGATCTGAATATTAAAACAGAAACACTAAATCTATTGGAAGACAAATTGGGTAAAAACCTTGAAGACATAAGGGTAGGTAGAGAATTCATGAACAGGAATCAAACCATATGGGAAATATTTCCCAGAATCAATAACTGGGATCACCTCTTAATAAAAAGTTTCTGCACATCAAAAGAAATCTCCAGCATAGTGAAAAGAAAACCCACAAACTGGGAAAAAAATCTTAGTGAACTGTCCCTCAGACAAAGGACTTCTGTCTAAAACATATAAATAATTTAAAAAAATCAGACCCCCCAAATCCAAAGATCCAATCCAAAAATGGGCATCTGAGATGAATACACAATTATTAGAAGAAGCAATACAAATGGCAAATAAATACACGAAAAATGTTCATCATCATTACTCATTAGAGAAATGCAAATCAAAACCACACTGAGATTCCATCTCACTCCAGAAAGAATGGCCAGGATCAAGAAAACTACCAATACCAAATGCTGGAGAGGCTGTGGGGAAAAAGAAATTCTCCTGCACTGTTGGTGGGAGTGTAGACTGGTGCAGCCACTGTGGAGGTCAGTCTGGAGATTTCTCAGAAAGCTGGGATTGGAAGCCCCATTTGTTCCAGCTATTCCACTTCTAGGCATATTCCCAGAAGAACTAAAAACATCACACCACAGTGATATATGTGCACCTATGTTGATAGCAGCACAATTTGTAATAGCCAGATCTTGGAAATAACCTAAGTGTCTATCAACTGAAGAATGGATAAAAACGATGTGGTATTTTTATACAATGGAGTACTACTCAGTTATAAAGAATGATCACATTGAGATATTTATAAATAAATGGATGCAGCTTGAGACCATACTCATAAGTGAAATAAATCAAACCCACATATATAAATACCAAATAGTTTCTCTAGTGTAAGAAATGGTAAGAATACATAAAAGTATGTGGTAATCATGATTCCCCATTACATTGCTTTGAAGCCTTATAATGTTTTCATTCATTAGTTGGAATGGTTTTATTCTGGGTTGATTTTATTGTCTGTGATGGTGTGAACAGCTATTTTGAAGAAAGCAAGACTTTATAATAGCTAGTCGTGATTTAATATCATCTTGTTTTGAAGTTCCACCAAGGTTTTGTTCTTCTGTCTCCATTGGTTTTATCATGTTGTTTCTTATTGGATTTTATTAGATATGATAGTATAAACTAATTTTTTTATGGACAAGGAGATAATATAGTAACCATTGTTCATTTTCTATTAGTTGGTTCTGAATACCCTGTAATACTTTCATTCTCTTGAATGGTTTTACACTGTCTTGTTATGTTTCATACTATAGTATACTCAAATATTTCAAGGAAAGAGACACTATGTTCACTACTGTTATGTCAGGTTGTCTTGTGGTGAAACATTATGTTGCTTAAATTGTTCTGCTCTGACCTGTTTTGTTATATCCTCTTTTATTTTAATATTTTTTTAAAATAAAAAAGGAATCACATGAAGCTATGGTTTATGCAGCTCAGTGTACAGGGGTGTAAGGACAGGACACCAAAAGTGATTTAATTGGATATGTATTTTTGATTTATACCCACTCGGATATGCTCAGGATCTAAGTCACTTTCTTTATCACTGAGACACAGTACCCAGTGCCTACAGCTTAAAGGAGGAGTTTATTTTGGCTCACAGTTTTAGAAGTTCCCATGTATGGTCAGCTGACACCAATGCTGAAATAGCAGAGTGAAAGGCCTGGCAGGGGAGAGGCTATTCACATCATGGCAGCCAGATGCAGAACAGGAAGGAGCACTAAATTCACTCAGATGAATCCACTCTGCAGGGCAGTGCCCCCATGACCCAACCACCCTCCAGAGCCCTGCTCTGAGCACAGGAGGATTTGGGGATATAGATATGTAATAGATAAATAGGTAGCTAGATAGATGCAAATAATACCAAATCAAAAAAATCAGAACCTAATATCTCCTGACACAAGACTTTTGGGAAGAGATATAAAACTTGGATTTATAAAATAGGTGATGGACCATATCTGGCTTTTGGGACCATGTGGTCCTTGGTATAGACCAACTCAATAATGAACCAGTATCTGTCTCTTTCTTTCATCTTTGTGGCTTGTCTCCCTGTGCTCTCTTTGATTCCTTACATTCCAGTCACACTTGTTATTCTATGATAATGATAGCAATAATAAAAAGTATACATGTTGATATAAAGTATACTTAATATGTATTTGAAACTGAGAAAAGTAGGTGGCAAGTTCCTTAGTCCGATGTGTCCTATTACAGACTGAATTGCATTTTGTCAAACTTCATAGGTTGAAATACTTCCTGCAATGTGAATACTTGGGAAAATGAAAATAAAGCTAAATGCAGCATAAAGATAGAACTAGAGACTGAAGGACTGATGTTCTAATACGAAAGAGGAAAAGATATCAGAGATTCCTTTCTGCTCACTAGGGAAAAATCATGTGAGAACATGTCAGCCACCTATAGTTTGAGTTTCATCCAGTTACAGGGGTCAAAAACTACAAGATCCTATTAGCATTGATCTAGTGGAGTCTTACTTTGCAAAAAGAGCAGTTAGATAATCTTATTAAATTCAAGTCAAGCAGCAAGTTATACCAGACACAGTTCTTTTGTGGCTGTAAATGCCTAGGACCACAACAGAATCTCCATATGCTTTCTGCCTCTGGGAATATGCTCAGTACCAGTCCAGGATCTTCAAGTGAACTAGGAGACTACATAGTAACACAGGATACCAAGAACAAGATTCTGAGAACAACATATTTGCAGCACAGAAGTGGGAGCTTATGAGTTGTTACTTCCCACTCTTATCTAATTTCTGGGTTCCTCCCTAGGACTCCCGTATCTGTTAGCACATGGCACAGCAGCATTTTCTAATATGGAAACATTACCCACATGCTGTTATTAAGGCCTTGAAATGTGGCTGCTCCAAATTGAGAGACACTGAAAGTGTAAAATACACACCAATGTCAAAGACTTTGTAAATTAAAAAGTTTATATTGGTTACATTAATACCTTTGATACACTAGGCTACAAAAAATAAGTTATGAGAATTGCTTTTGGCCATTTGTGTAGCTACTAGAAAATTTAAAATTGCACATGGGGCTTGCACCACATATTTTTTGGACAGTGGTGTTTTGAAAACCCACAAGTATTGGTATTCATTTACTTAGTCTTTTCCAGACTATAGGTACAAAGTTCTAAATGTAGTGAATTCTCAAGAAGCAATAATACTGGGATTGAAAAATGACTAGTTTGTGTCATTGGGTGAGATGTACAAAACGGACAAAAAATTTTGTTATTCATGGAAATACATGAGCTAGATGGGGAGCTGGCAGGTGACAGGTAGATTTACACAGGTGTCAACAGCCTGAGAGCCCGAATCAGCTCACTTCTAAGTCTCCTTTTCACCTACAGTAACAACTTGCATGTGAAGAGTGGATGTTCTCTGTCTAACACTTGGCTTAACAGAAGGATAGAATTTTTCCAACTTCTATAAAAAATAGTTGTCATTATCTAAGAATGGACAAAGGAATCCCCAAAGCCCCCCCAAAAATGTGTTCTGCTTAGTCTACATTTATTAACAGGACAGACAACACTATGGTGAGATTTCCAGAACACAGACTGAGTAGGGATTTCTCCATGCCCTCAGACTACAGTCTAGAAGGAAAGAGATGGAAAAGACTGAAAATCAGGGAGTCCAATCCCAACCGCTCGGCATTGTTTCCTATAGTAAATAAGAAAAGCTCTGAAGCATTCTTTTTATATACAGATGGTAAAGGTAGGCCATTCAGAATTGGGGTGCATTTGTTTTCTTTGTGACTTTCACTGTTCCTTGTAGCACTGGTCCTGAAAGAGAAGACAGAAGGGTAAGATGCCAGAACACACGGGCACTGCAGAGATCAGGCTATATAATCATTGTTGTATGTTAATCAAAGAAATCCACTGGCTCACACATTCAGCCAAAGACTACTTATGGCCAATATCACATTGTAATCAGCGTAACTCCACGATATGGCTTTAGAACCTGGCATATGGTACCTTTTGAGCTAGACACAAAAATAAGCGTATTTTAACTCTAAATCTGCTTTTTACTACATGTGACCCTCATGGTAACTTTAAAAAAGGGTAGAGATCATTAACCCTATTCCTCAGATTTGATAATTAAGCACCAGGGTTTAATGATTTACTAAATTCTCAGATTCAGTCAGAACAATACAATTTCAATGACACAAATGCTTTTCCCTACAGTTAATTTAGGCTGTTAGTATAAACAGCTGCTTCCCTTGCCTGACTCTCTCACATTTTCAAACACTCTTGAAATCAATATAGTATCCCTCAAAGTATAAACATTTAAGGCTGTGAGCTTTCATAGGTATACTGTTTAAGACTGATTTTGTCAGGCTACAATCAAATCTGAGTTGCACACAATTCTCTTGAAACACAGCCTCTTTGTAAATTGAGGACTTACTGTATTTAAAACATCAGACCACTTTCTCTAAAGGAGGCAGGAAATTCTATCCACACATCATTGTCGTAGTACTGTCTGGGGCATAAACAGCCATGTGTCATCAGTAGCGCCTGTCTCCAAGATCACACCACTAAACTGTACTGAAATTTCACTCATGTCCAATATGACTTTGGTTGTAATGATTTCTGTCAGCAATACCATAAAATTCCTGTCATTAATAATGATAGGAAAAAACATAATGAGAAGAAAATAAGGAGCAAAGTGAGTGATGTTTATGTATCAAATCAGACTGAAATTAGAGGACTGGCCTGGGACCTGCATTTGACCTGCATTTGTTGGATAGGCAGGCTACGCCTTTCCAATAAAAAGAAAACACCTAGAAGTGAAAAGAAGGACCTTCCTTGTTCCTTGTTTTAAAAAAAAAGTGTATGCTGACATCTTCATTATCTGAGTCTTCATTATCTGAAGAAATGCATCTTATCAGTGTAACCTGAAGGCAAGTTCCTTATGATGTAGTTTCTGTCAAGTCCTACATAGGATGAGTACAGGGAAATAAAGTCCTGGGTGCTGTCTATTGGACTTGCACAAGGTGATTTTGACTTCTTTGTTCTGAGATATGCACAAGTAGGTGTGTTTGTGAGAGATAATATTGTGTTCCATCAATAAAATGAGGAACAAAACACCAAGCATTTACAGCAAACAGATGTAACAACTAAAGTAAGAGCCTTACACTTTCTTTTTAGTACTAATGTAAAGATCCACAGTAAGTAAACAACGTCAAGTCAAAAGGAGAAAGAAATGAAGGTTTTCTAGTTCCCAAGCTACTCTAGCCTTACTTTCTATTGCTATGTGAGCTGCAAAACACCCTGATTACAGCTCTTGTATCCCTAATTTCCCCAGAAATGCAATGTGACCTCACATTGCCATAGCATCACTTCATAATGATTCCTAGATCTAGCAGAAAATATTCCAATTCCATCATTATCATAGCTCATTATGGCAGTGAAATGGAGCAAATACAATTGTGAATAAAATATTTTATCAAGTATCACTTATTAAAATATTGCTATATTAGATAATGACTAAATATTATCTTTCTATTAAAATTAATTTTTAATTAAAATTAGATAAGTACAGAGGTAGGGCCTAATTTTCTAAGTTCATATTTTAGGCTCTTTCTATAAAATCCACCATTTGGTTTAAAATACCATAATAACAGTGATAATAAAAGAGGCACTCATTTTTCAGACACTGTGTCTAATGCTTTAAATCAATGTTTTGTGAATATTTTAATAGATTATTGAGATCTCTTGCTTAGAATGTTTAGGTGATTTACAGAGATTTCCATAGGAAAGACATGAAAAACTGGAATTTGTACTCATATTTATTTTACAAGAAAATATTTCTTTTTATTTAAAACTTTCTATTTTTCTAAATTATGCAGCATGTTTTCTGAGGATTCTACTCCTCAAATGTAATCAATAGGAAGAATATGAAAGTCAGTAATATGTGTTGAGTTATCCTTGTAGATATTTTAGTGAAACAAGTTAGCTATTATTGTTGACAAAAAATAAATGCAGTGTAACATGCAAGGATATGACTGTTACGTAGGAATGGTTTAAATCCAACTTTGTCACTATCTGCCGTCCCCGTTTCTGTTTCATCTTTTCTTTGTAGATCACAGAGAATAAAACCCACCCTGCAAAATTATTGTTAAAGATATTGCTCACAAGCAACCTATTAAATATTCCAGGAAAGAGTTTTAAATGTAAAGTTCTATGTTGTTATCTCCACATCTTTCAGTGATCACTTAATTATCTTCACAGTGAAAATGAGAAAAATCCCTGACCTGGACATTTCTGTCACCCATGCAAGAGAACCAAAGCAGAACCAACCATTTCCAAGACAATAGCCGTGAAGGCCAGTGTACTCACCGGTGCGGACACTGCCAGGTTTGGTTTCTGGGGTTTTGCTGTCCTCACACCTCCCTGGACTGCGTATGTGTGTATTAGTCTGATGTATCCTGTAATAAAACCAGGGAAGTTTCAATGCAGGAAGAAACACAGTTATAATAAGACAAAACTGATGATCATAGTGAATTTAGAGCGATGGCCTGGGATCTGCAGTCAATCATTCTCCAGTAGGTATAATCCACATGAGGCCTCTCTCTGTTTGTTCTGGATTTATTTCCAAGATTCTCACTCATAACATTCTACCAGTAATCTATTCACAGAAATGTTGAATCTTGGAGGTAAAAAGAATTAGATTTCAGAGAGAATTTGGCTTTATTGAGTATAAAACTACTTGGGGAATGAAAAACGTAACTAGATACAATAATATGATCAGGATTTTATTTGAAATAAGCTTAAAGGCTGGAAATTGCAATGGCTTTCACTTTAGATATTATAAATCAAACATCTTGCTTGCCTCTGATGGTGAGACACTCATCGTCTGTCTTTGATCACCAATAAGCTGAAATGGTTGTCCTATAACATTTTTCATGGGCACAGAAACTTTTTTTGTCTTTCTGCTCTGTAATACTTACCCCCAGCTTTTTCAGTCAAACAATCCACCCTAGAGCATTATTTATTAATATTTCTTTATTAATATTCTTTACTATATTTACTTATTAATAATCCTTATTAATATTTTCACCATTTAAATGTCGACTCTAAAGTTCTTGAATAAGAGGACCATTTTTTATGGGCTTATAAAGCTAATGGAAATTTAGATAAAATTATATTGATAATTTAGGCCCTTAAATTTGAAATAAAGAGGAAATGAAATATTTTTGGATTAGAGATATGGTACATGCAATATTTGAATTCCTAGATGGAAAATTCATTTGTTAAGTAAGGATTTAGTTTTTGAAACTCCATAAGGCACATGTATAGACTTTATAATTTGTTATCATACTTCTACTGTAAAATGGTCAAATGAAGGGAAAGAGGGGGCAGTTTATAGGGGAGAAATTATTACCAATAATCAGCTAACATTTGAACAAAAAAGTAACAATAAAACTAAAGTCAGATACCTGTATTTAATCTATAATGAAGACATGATTACAGTAAAAATCTGTGAAATCATTTGCTCAATGAAGTGTTTCCCCTTCTCAGAAGAAGCAACACTGACTCCAACCGATGAAGTCATATGACCATAGCCACACAGATGTTAAGAAAATCTGAGAACAGACCACATATGTGGCATATAGTGTAGTGTGCTCTCTTTTGTATGGTATAACTTTGCTTTTTCATGGCACCATTTCCTTCAAAGGAAGACTTAGAGAAGATGGAAAATCAGTGACTGATGATCCTAGAACCTTTTAGATACTATAATTGGGGTTGACTCTATATGCTATTGGATCTCAACTGTTTTGCAGTGATACATACAAATACACAAGCTCATAGAAATGTTTGGTAATTGTAACGCCCACACTTTTGTAAAAAAATTTTCTTTAACTCAGTACAGTACATAACAATGTAGGTAAGCAATTTCACTAGAGATAGCACTAAGTCCTTGCTATTTTATGTATAAGAAAAATAATTCACATGCTTTGACTTTTTAATTATGTGATTAATAAATGACCTGCAATATACCTCAAATTGATATCAGCATACTACTGTTGGTCAGTACTACAGTGGGGGAATTCTGTACTAGCAGACAGGAAGAAGTAACTTGTGTACTCACAGGTTTTCATGACACAGCATGCAGGGATTGCTATATGTTTTGCCATCATCACCACAGACAGGCTGTAAATCCTTTGGGCAAAGAAAACCAATCCTGGGCAAGACTCGGTAGTGCTTGCACATCTCAGAATCCTGCATGGACAAGCATACAGGAAACTTGTTTAAGGACATCCAAAAAGAAGCAATAAGTTTGGGAGAACCTCTTGGTTTCCTTAATCATGACTAGGAACAGAGCTGTAATATAGGTTTTACAAAATTCCATCTTTACTTTATACCATAGTAGATGGATTTAAATTTCTGGATTTGATTTCTTTTAATTATAGACATTCCTAAACAAAGAAGAACAAAAAACAAGGTGGTACAAATCCTACCAAATATGAGGCATGATTTGCTGGAAGCATGCACATAGGAAGAAAACAAGGATGCACTCATGCTACAAGTAACATTATTTTCAGTGAAAATCCTGGCTATTGTTGATCTAGAAAGTAAAGACTCTGGAGCAAATACTGGGTATAACAGCAACAATAATAACAATATGATTAATCAGAAGAAATAGGGGCTGGTGATTTAGCTCAGCGGCATAAGAGCCTGTCTTGCAAGTCCATGTTCATGAGTTTGATCCCCGGTACCGATAAAAAAATAAAAATAGAAAAAGACAAAAAAATCAGAAGAAATAAAAGAGTTAAATCTAAAAAAATAACTTTTATAAAAAAGAAAAGTTGTAGATTTGAACAATACAAACCCAATGGTACCAGCAACCACATTAAATATTAACAAGCATTTCAGTTAAAGTAATTGTCAATACATAAGTAATAAAATCAACTATTAGATATTTATAAGAAATATAGCCTGAAAGTAACAGGTTGAGAGAAACAAGATGATTTTTCTAAATAATTCATAATTTAAAATAATAATAGAATTTATAAATAGTTTACACGACAATGAAAATATAAGGTATCAAATTTCAGAAACTGCAGAAGAGAGGTAAGAAAAAGCCACAATTTTTATACAGACATTGAAAAAAAGAATGTTTGAAAACTCCGCAGTCTAAACTACCTCTCAACAAGCTATGAGATAAGGAACAAATTAAGCTCAAAGAAAATATCAGAAAAAGCAAAGAGAAAGTAATACAATAGAAACTAGAACAGCCAAGTAGCTGCTTGAAACATTAATAAATAGATGAAAAGATTAATAAATTAACTAAAAGGTAGAAAAATGCATGTCATTATTAGAAATAAAAGACTGCAGAAGCTAAAGATATTAAAAAGATAAGGTAGAAGTGGTATGAATAAATCTGTGGTGAAAATTTAACAATTTAAATTAATAAATTTCTGCAAAATTACTTTCTGAAACACACAAAAAGCAAGCACACTTTTAGTACTGTAGTATCTCTAATACTCATTTCACAGGAGGCAAGCAAGTATTTACCAGCTTGTTATTTTGTTTTGCTAAGTGATTCAATGTCTAACTGAATTCTTCCAAGTTGTGTATTATTTTGTATGTTTTATATTTAGATTGTTCCATAATGGCGTAAATATTCAGGTAGAATTAAGACCAGCGACTTCTACGAATCCCTGGCAAAAGTGACTTAACCCAAATAAACAAACTATATTTAGAGGCAGCAAAGAAGAATGCTTATGTTTTTCATACATAGCACATCAGTGGTGAACTTCATCTTCAAAATGAATCCCATGTCCTCCTTCTCCCCACGAGCTTTCCCACTTCTACCCTGGTGAAAACCTGCAGTATGTCGTCTATGGATTACTCCGCCTGCTCAGGAGCTACCTTACTCTTGTACATATCGTGGTGTATTTCCAAAATAGCTCATCACCCAGCTCCCCTTTGTACTCCAGATGACTGGGAAAGGAATCAGTTGGGGGAGGGCGGTGAATGGAAGCTGAGATGAGCCCTTCCCATCTGCTGAAATGTCAGAATTCAGGCATCTGACTTTATATTTGATCAATGTGAGATTAATCACATTCACTACATACCCACTTCTTAAAATTTTAAGATACACTAAATTGAACCAAGGCTAACAATTTCAAGGACCAGAATAGTAACAGGTGGGTAATCCCAGAACTCTCACTAGGTACAAACTCCACTTAGTTCTCATACCACTTGAGGCTGCACTGTGTCAGCTTCTCCAGATCCTGTTGGGCACATGGGATTGTGGACGGCAAAGGCAACTGGCCTGAGAGACTAATTTATTGAGTAGGTTTTCAGAAGCATTGTTCTTACCAGAGAAGAAGTGGAGGAATCTGGTGTCTCTTCAGAAGCTCTAAGATAAATTGGCTCTGCTTGGAGTTTCGACCTTTCTAAAGCTTCTTTTTGACTAGAGAAGGAAGTAGAAATTAATTCAAAACAACATTCACAACAGTGAGCTCTATAACTTCCAGTGGAAATTTAATAATCCTAGGAAACTCAGTCATAAACCATTCAGAGAATAGCAGGATAGTATATCAAGAGAAGCACACAACTGAAAGATGCTGAGAGTTCTCATCACTGAATAGGTGTGCGACTTTAGACAAGTGGCTTAAGTCCTTGGGTTTCAACTTAGCAGAACTCAGGAAGAGAGCAGTACTGGTGAGTCCCTCCTCAAAGACAGTACACCTGTAGAAAGTTAAATATTCTTTTCCCAGGGGATTTTAAAACCATCACCATCATGTCTGTTGGTCTTCCATTTTGATTGGTCAACACAATAACCTAGAAACTCTTTCCAAAAAGCAAGTTCTCTAACTCTAGAGGTTCTGGTTTAATGTAATCTGAAGCATGGAAATCAGTATTTTTAAAAATAGGCCTCCCAGTTGAGTCTGATATAGATGTGGAACCCAGATTAGGAAAAATGTTTTCCAACTATGATGCTTAAGTGGAAAAACATTAAGCACCACAGCTAGTCTTGTGATCAGAATCTATACCTGGGTTTCCTGTCTCTAGATTCAAGCTTTCTTGCTACTCTCTCAGATAACCTCAAACTAAGGACCTTGATCTGAAGACCCATCGTAGGAACTCAATGCCTACATGAGTACACGTTTATTCAATCAGCACTTTGTGGATGTGCAGGTCCCGTGCTAATGGAAGCTGGAGTGGACTCCTGGTACTCACAGGATGGCTCTGCATCTGTAGCACTTATTTTTGTAGGTCTTCCCGTCGGCCCCACGCACAGGGTTGTTCTCCCGCGTGCAGATGAGTTCACCATTCCTCGCACGATTCCGATATTCACTGCACTCGTCCTAGAAAATGCGAAAAGGGAAGTCAACGTGGCCTTTTCTCTTTTGGGTTGGTAGTTTCCTCCAACTTGTTTTTAGGAAGTCCTCTCTTGGGCCTGGGCTTAGACTCACTGCACTTATGCCAATGTAGGCCAAGGAACTCGAAGGCTGTCTAAACTTTGCATCTTCTGCTTCATTGGTAACCTCTTTGCACTGGTCCTGTAAATGCAGGGAAACATAAAACAGCACTTGGGAGACCCTATCTGTCTCCTTCTCCCTTTCATCCTGCGTTCCTTTCCCATTTTCCACATATGGTGTGCTTTTAACTCAAGGAGAACCTAACTCTATAAATGTGATTATCACTGTTCAAGGACTGAATGAAGCGGTCTTCTTTGCAGTCTTGAAAAGAAACAGAAAAGGCAGCATGATGCATGCACACTATTGATTCATGGATGCTGAGAAAATCATCTGGAGAAAACAAAAGAGATATCAACAGGCTCAACAGGAGATCTAAGTTTAATTTATATTACCCAAATTGTTACAATCAACATCGAGAAGCTGCCCAAAGCTTGATTTAATATTTTAAAATGTCAGAGATAAAACGTGGAGCTCAGATGGCAAAGGATTATGTTCTCCATTTTTCAATCCATATTTCTGCAAAAGCAAACAGACTAAAGCAATAATTGACACGATCTAGAGGAAATCAACAAAATCAAGAAAGCATCAAGCCCCAAGTCACAGCAACAAACTCTTATTATGAATCAAAGTAACAGCACTAGCAACACCATGATTCTATGAAGCAAAGGATTAGTGTTTTTGTAATCCAAACCCTGGAGAAGAAGGCAAGATTCTGAAGGTAAAAAGTAAAAGAGTTACTTTGGTATCTTTCAATAAATGACCTTTGCATCCTTTGAGGATTGGGAATTTGATTTTTCTTCATCATTTTTTCTTTCCTTAGCTTCTCGCTCACTGTGGAAAAAAAAGATAATAGGATTTTTCTACCTAGTATTGGGTTCTGTTTAAACCACTAATTTCCAATTCCAAATACTAATAAACTTAACTTTTTTCTTATGTTTAAAAAATTAAAGGTACTATTCCTTAGTCAGTTTTGAATATTGTAATTTTCATATCATATTTGTAGCAATATTTTCAGATTTAATTGATTCAGTCATTAGCATGATATTGTACTGAAAGGCCATTTTTAGAAAATTTTAGAATAAACATTGTACACTGTCATTTAGAAAGTTGTCTCTTAAGATGTGTTATATACATATATCAGTTCCCACAATGAATGTAATCCCTATGTACTACAAATATTTACTAATAACATTTTTAATAAAATAGAAACTTGTCTCATTATTCTTTGTCACTTTCCTGATTAAAGTATAACTAAATTCTCAGTTTTGATTGCTCTTTACATAGAGTGATTTGAAGCTTATAAAATATTTTTAAAATGCACTGTTACCTTCAACTGCCACAAAACCATTTCGTACGATTATTGTATTTATTTTATACAGTAGAGACACTGAATTTTCACAAAGCAAACAGCCTCTCTCTGGTTACTTTCTGATAACGCTTTTCTCCTCAAAGTTCATCAGTTTTATCAGTATACGCTCCTACCCTGGAGGCTCCAGATGTGACTATGCTTCTTATCATCAGAATAAAAATTCTTGTAAAGTCTTTCAGAAACTAACTCTTCTCTAGAATGAGGGGCTATTTGTCTTTAACAAGTAAAGTGTCTCAGGCAAAAAGTGACAGGGACTGGGTTCTGTCAAACAGGCAAAGGTATATCAAACTCATGTTGAAGCGTCTTTACGTACAAGAGGGTCTGACACATGGCACACTTGTTGACGTACATCTTCCCGTCCAGCCCTCGGAAAGGACTGTTGTCCCTGGTGCAGATAAGTCTTCCATCTTTCTGCTTGCTCCGGAACTCAAAACACTGATCCTGCTTAATAGAAACAAAAAGTTGTTCTAGCTGTGATTTAATCTAGGAACTGTGAAAATGGGACTGATTGTTAGTAACAGTTGGTGAAATAATAGAGAAAAAGAGGTTGCAGAGATGGAATCTGTTTTAAATGCATTTTATTCAATTTCTGCCTAAGACACTTGAATTTGAATCCCCCCATAGATGTGCCCTCCAGTCCCCTTTTCCCAGGGGGCACTGTGCTACTGCCTAGGTGGCCAGGGCCATTTTTATGTGGATGCTGTGAAGATGGTCCCTACATATTTCCCTGCAGCTGCACACATCACTCCACCCAAAATGTGTGATTTTCAAAAGCCCTAGAGTAAACTAAACACACTTTTAGCTTTGCTTCTTTGTTTTTTTTTTTTTTTCTTGTTTAGCTTCTTAATAACAACTTTTTAAAAAAATTGTGTGTCACATGCCAGGCATTTGTCCTTTTATGTTTGAATCAATTTCTTTTAGTGACCCTACAAATCCTCTAAGATAAACATTTATCACCCCCATTTTACAGATGAGAAAAGAAAAATTCAGTTATTAGGTAGTCAAAGTTAATCTTGGACTTGTAAGCTGAAACCTGCTAGCAGCTAGACTTTTAAAATAGAGTATTTTATTTTGTTTCATAACAGAGAAAGAAATCAAAGATTGTACAGCAAGTCCAAGGTTCCAGATTGATTTAAATGTATTTTGTTTCTAAGACTCACACATCTGGTAGAAAGTAATGGCAGAACTGGCATGTTTTAAAACACTCTTTTACCAGAACTAAAATCAAAGGGAAAACATTTCAAAAAAAGTACTGAAAGCGAGGAAAATTGATGTGCAAATGAACTAGTTTTGTTTCTCCTTTGCTTTTATTTGGCAGAGAATAAAACTTACACCATTTGTATGAAAACAGACAGACATTTTGAAGACTGAAAAATAAAAACCTCAAAAAGAACCCATGGAACTGACTCCAAGGGATCTGGCTCCTGTTGAAACTTTTGGAGCTTTATACAAGTCTCTTGAATTCCCTTTAATCCTATTGAGTCAAAGTAGATATATGGAAATATTATTTTGAAAAATACTGCTAGTGGCTTAAAAACTACGGGATTGCTCTCAGAGACAAAACCCAAAAAATAAATAAAGAGCAAAACTGTAGATAGATAATAGGAAGTTGGGTGGTAAATTTTGTTCAAAGGGGAAGAGATTCAAGAGATAGAGGGAGAGGGGAGAGAAAAGAGGGAAAAGGATGAAAAAATAATTAAAGTGTATTGTGTACATGCACCAGTCCCACACAAGCAATATGATCACTCTGTGATGTAAACATATAGTAATAAACAATAAAAACAGACAAGATATTAAACTATCCTGATAACAATCTAGATAGTGATCTTTCTTTTTCTTCAAGTTGTGATACCCATAAACAGTTCCAAGCCTAGTTTCATCTGCTCTGTCTCTTAAAATTTCTTGAACTGAGACTTGATCAATATATTAAATGTTTCAACATCATTTTCATAGTAACTAGAATTATATTCTCTTTCAGGTGCTCACAAGACAGCATACACATGTGTTAGTAGTATCTCTTATTAATATATTACAGTATTGCAACATTTGCTTTAAGAGCTTAGTCTCTTGCTCCCTTAAGAAATAAAATTACAGTAGTAGTAATTAAACCCAGAGCTATCACATAAAGCTACATACCTAGTTATTTCTTCCACCTTGTTGTTTGTGAAACAGGATCTCATTAAATTAGTAAATCACCAAGGCTGGGCTCAAATTTGAGATTCTCTTGACTTATCCTACAAGAGTTCTGGCATTACAAGCATGGGCCAACAAACCTGCCATGTTCTTCTGTTTATTGTTTTTTGTAATTACTGGATTTTGAATTTTTCTCAACTGTAAAGTTGAAGCAACCTACACCATAGATTTTTGGAGAGTGTATACATGTCAATTTGTATATCTTTTGCATGTATAGATAAAACTGTAGTTCCTCAATATCAACATATAATCTGGACATTAGAAAAAAATGTATGTATTTGTTTTTACGATTGAAATGTTTATAATAAAATTGCACATTTGAAAACAATCAATGTACAGTAGACATCAACTTAATGTTGCACAATGAAATATTTTATTAAAGACATTCATCTACCAAGTTGTACAATAGATGTTCCTAAAACATTTTAAAATATTCACAAGTAGTACCAACATTTCATTTCTGTTTAGTTGGAGCAGAGGCCTAATGAAAAGTTACCTTACTAATGGGGAAAAGCATCCTAGGAAAATTTTACTACTTTGTTTTTCTAATTGGAGTTCATAGCCAAGACTAGGAGAAATCAAGCTGTGAGTGTGTCCTTAGGGTTGTCAAATTGTTGAACATGATGTACAAAACCCAAAATCAAACAGTAGGTGGCACTGAAAAGCAAACTAAAGAATTTAACCAGGTTTTCAGAAAGGGTTTTGGTTTGGTTTGGTTTTACTTTTTTTTTTATTTTATTTTTTATTTTATTTTATTTTATTTTATTTTATTTTATTTTTATTTTTATTTAAGGAGAAAAGAAAAGAAAGAAAAAAAAACAGTGAAGGGGTACAAGTTATACAGATTTACAGAAGAAAAAAATGCGTAGTAGGAAATCACTAGTTAATGGATTACATATTGCCATCCTAGAAATAATTGTTCAAGTCACAAAATTAAAGCTTGTAGAGTGGACATTCCAACAATGATACTGCAAACAGTTCTGTTCAATGATCCAATAAGGTTTTACGTTGAGACATGGTCTCACAATGCAGTCCAAGCTGGCCTTGAAATCACAGATACACCAGACTAGCCTCAAATTTGTGATCCTACATCAGCCTACTAGAAGCTGAGATTCCAGACATATGCTACAATGTCCAGACAGAATTTTGTATACTTGATACTTTCTTTCTTGTTTATAGTTTCTGACATCTGTTTCTGTGTTTTAAGATTTTGGAAATGAAATTCATTGAATGGCTAATTACAGTAAGTTGGTAATTGTCTCAGGTCTTTCAAACACATGGTAATTTTATCAGAGCTGTACCTTAAAGTGTTGGATGATGTTTTGTTTCATTTTGCTTTGTTTTTTGTAAGATCTATGCATGTCTTCCTTCCTTAACATTATATCTCAAATGATTAGGAGACAGCAATGCATACACATTTGCTAAACAAATTCACTGCAAGATAATCGGCCAAATTTCTCTATTAGTGTGTCTGTCGTGTGTTACCTTCTTGTCATTGCTCTTGTCTTCTGTGTTTTGCTTGCCTTCTTTCTCTTTCTGTTTTCTTTCAGCTGCTTCCTTTTCCCTGGAAAGAAATATTTAAACCAAAATGAATGAACACCTCTTTAACGACAAGATCTGTTTCCAAAATAATTGTTATTTTCCTAAATTGTTGAGAAGTGATCATTATGCCTTCAAAATGCAGAGTCAAAGCCGGGCGTGGTGGCTCACGCCTGTAATCCCAGCACTCGGGAGGGAGGCTGAGGTGGGAGGATCCTTGCGAGTTCCAGACTAGCCAGGGTTAGCAAGTGAGCTCAAGGCCAGCCTGAACTGCATAGCGAGACCCCGTCTCAAAAAGACAAAAAAAAAAAAGATGCAGAGTCAAAACCCCCCTTTTGGGGAACACTCACAGTCTAGTTTTACACATAGCACACTTGTTGCCATGTGTTTTTCCATCTGGACCCCGAATAGGATCACTTTCTCGAGTGCAGGAAAGTTTCCCATTTTTCATGTGGCTTCTGTACTCATCACATACATCCTAAAATGAAGGAAGGCTATATCAGAAATGCTGTTTCCATATAGTGTTTAGATTTGAAAATCAAAAAGTTTCCTTTCTCAGAGTTGGGCAGACTCCTCACTGCGCTGTAGTAGTCAAATAACGGCCATGAGGATCTCCGTGCACTAACTTTGGCTCCATATGTAATTATGGTTGCCAGTCTGCTGTAGTTGGTCTGATGCTATCAGAGTGGGGCACACATAATCCTAAAGATTTTACCCATGAAAGCAGGAGATTAGAGGTCAGTGTCAGAATGATACAGCATCACAAAGATGGGACTAGTCATTGAGGACTTTGAAGGTGACCACAAACCAAAGAATTAAATTTGGTAGGTAGCCTCCAGAAGTTAGACAAACGAGCAGACCTTCCCACAGAACGTTAGCCACACTTTAGTTTAGTGAGACAATTAGAAGTTTTAGGTCCCATTAATATAAATTATCACCCTGTGCTATGTATGGATCCTGACTCCTGACATTCTAAGGCAGATCTCAGTTGACCATTTTGACTACCTCTTTGCACAGTTTTGATGAACGGGAATTGGCTGATAGAAAGACCAGTCTATAAAAGCTGTGTTAATGATGTACCTTTCCTGATGCTGACTCAGTCTTATGAGATCTTAAGGAAGAACTCTTTACCTTTTCCTCTGCTTCTCTTTGTCTGGAAGACACAATAAAAAATATAAGGCTTAATGTCTAAAGAGATGTTAACAAATACATATTAGACATTAACAAATACCAGCCAACATTAACATTTCGATAAGATTTTTCTCACGTGACTTGCATAGCCAAAAACTATAATTTTTTCAGGTTGAAAAGTGGAAGAATGTCTGTGAGTGTGAATGTGTGGTGTGGCATTAAATATTTGTTAAACACATATTGAATAAATGCCATAATTAAGAGCCCGCTGGTAAGTTTCAGAATTACACATGCTTTTTCAAGTCACCTAGAAATACCTCAATTTACGTATAATTATGTTTATGACCCAACAACACAAATCGTTAGTGGCTGTTCTGGATCACAGTGCACTCTAATTCAATCCCATTCACCAATGGAAAATAAATAGGAGAAACCAGCCTCTTGTTTAAGCAATAAGTGTGACTCACATGTAGGACAAAGAAAAGCAGCTCTTTCAAGCTGTACTGGTTGAGCATCCTAGAATTTAGGTAAAATGAAGAACAATAATCTATCATAGTGGCATTCAGAGATTATGGAATTGTAACAAAAATCAGAATAGGAATCAGTCACTTGATTATCTGTCCTTTAGGACTCCTGTTCCTTAGGACATTAAAGAGAAAGCAATACTATTTGGGAATTGACAAAAAGCATGAGTTTCATGGAGGGAGCAAAAGAATAAGAGGCATAGCCATCAGTTCAGAAGGTGGCAATATTTTAGCCACGCCTAGTGTGGTAAACACTTACAGTAATTCTTTACACATGCCACATTTATTGTTGTATGATTTCCCATCGGCACCACGCACAGGGTCACTCTCACGAGTGCAGCTGAGTTTGCCATCTCTCATCCTCTCCCGGTACTCAGCACATGGATCCTGATAAGGGAAGAAAGCAGTCCTCAGAGTCACTCAGTCAGCTCAGTCCACTGTCACTCATTGTTAAACAATGTGAGTCAGGAAGTTCTTGTCTCCTTCCTGACAAAGAATTCTCTCTAAAGCTGTTTTCTACAGAGAAAGAGCAACTAAAAGCATCCGTATTCTAGTAAAAGGGGCCAGTTTTCACAGCTACTAATGTTGCTTCTAAGAATCTACATAAGAAAAATGTAGAGTTTGTGGAGATTTAATAGCATAGATTAAAGTCTGGCAAACTATACTCATGGGTCAGATCTGTCCTGCTTCCTGTTCTGATATGTAAAGTTTTATTGAAGCACTTTGTCCTCTTTTCTTTAGGTATTATTTATGGCTCCTTTCCTACAATAATGGCAGGACTGAATAATTGCAACAGACACAACATGACCAAATGCCTATTCACTGATCTTCTACAGAAGAAAATGTACGACTTCTGGTGTGAATAGAAAAAATAGAAAACTGCTAGGGGAACACAAAAGTATGACAACAAATTTTGAAAAGACAAAAAATCTAAACAGCTCTACTTCCTGAGAGCTAGAGTTCAGCTTTCTAAAGTCAAAGAGGTGGGAAAAACAAAGGCTGGATATTTATGAATGCTAACTTTTGGGCCTGTGCTGATGTGGCAGTGAGACAGTCTTGTTATGAGATGTGATTAAAATATACAGCAAATATTTTTTAAAACTTTCAGGTGCTGGGGATTTAGCTCGGTGGCATAAGTGCCTGACTGGCAAGCTTGAGGTTGTGAGTTTGAGTCCCAGGGCCACAAAAAAACAAAACTAAACAAAAACACCTTTTAATTTTATCACAGCAAAAGTATTTGACATTAATTTCCCTCAAAATACTCCACCTTGCTTCTCACACACTTAGTCCACTGTTCTTAGCACTTTCTGAAGAAATTAAGTACTCTTTGGTGTGTCTTTAGTTGCATTATTGTGGCCCCCTCAGTGTCCTGAGTGTTCAAAACATTTACCTTTCATAATCATTTGGACTTTGAAGAAGAGCCAGAAGCTGCCCAGTGCAGCTCTAGTGTCCAGTGATCTGGTGAATAAGGTAGATGAGGACACATAATAGTGTTTTTAGGAGTCTGCCTTTCCACTACTTGGCAATCGGCAGCAGCAGTCACTGTTTTTTGGCTTTGTTTTATTTTGTTTTGTTTGATGACATCTTTTAAAAAATTACTTAGGAAAGAGGACTTTAAGAACAGTTTCAGAAAGTGACCAGAACAACAGGATAAATGAGTTCAAAGTAGGGGATGAGGGAGATTAACAATAATGTATCCTTTATTATATTTTTAAAAATTTGAACATGTACTGCATTGTATTTAAAAGTTGTAAGAAAAAAAGTAAGATAAGTTTGATTTTGCCAAAGGGAGTGAAGAGGCCCAAGAAATTATCTTACATTCAATAATACCTTGCTGGTACTTAAAAATATCTCAGAAAACATAATAAACATTTGCCTAACTTTGAGAGGCTTCTGCCCTAGTATAAATTGCTGAATATTATGATGGTGGTCTAACATGGCAGAAGGCTGAAGCAAAACAACATTTACACTGATGACCACTTCCGCCTCCACCCCTCTCAGCCCTGATTACAGTTTCCTCTTTCCTTTCCACACATGGAGAAAATTCCAATCAGTTCCTCATGCATCATCAACATCCACCCCAAACTCTACCTCTGGCCAGAGCTCATAAATCCTCCCACCATGCCTGTCCCTGCTCAGAGGAGAAAGCCCAGCCCACAAGGTGTGCATGCCACTCCATGTCCTCAATAAAGATGTTTTTGTCTTTTTTTTTTGGCTTTTCTATTGTGCCAGAAAATCCTAACAAAAATAATTTTGTCTTGTTTTTATGAAAGTACTGCTAGATAAGGTAGATGGAATAATTTATTTAATGCTTCAAAGTCCAAAAGATGGGGCAGGTTATTATCTCAAGTTGATTCCAAAGTCTATGTTCTTCTACTTTATTGTGATACCTTAGATCAACAGACAAGATACCTCAAAAACTTGGCTCCATTCAGGGGAAGAAAGAATCATGAGACAAAATGAAGACTATATGATGCTGCTGAGCAGGAACATTGACAAAAGGCTAGATTACTAGAACAAGGATCAAGATAATAGGGTAAAGTTACCGAGGTATTGATTATTTACACATTTGAAGAAGTCAGAGCAGCCCTTAGAGAAGGTAAAATTGTTCATTTCTTATCCAATGGCCTTAAGGGTCAGTGCTCTTCTTCCAAATGACTCAGAGTCTGCAGTCCCCTCATATCTTTCCGGTCATGACCTACTTGCAAATGACAGTGAGTGTAGCCCTCTCTAGTTTTGGAAACAAGAGGTTACCCTCACCTCTGCTTTCCCTCCACCACCATGTGAACCATGGCCTGAAGCATTTTTCTGATTTTCCTTTTCCTTCTTCTTTCTTTCTTCATTTTCTTTCTGGCTGGAAATTAGAAAATAGAACATAGGGAAAAATAGCCCACAGAAAATGGAGCAGTTCTCTAATGTCCTCACCATGTAACTAAAGTAGCTCTATACAGAACTGACCAGCATCCACTTACTGTCCACTGTGTTGCTGGTGTTCTTCACTAAAAATACAAATGAGGAATTATGTAGAGTCCTTTTCTCTACATGAAAACCAACATGTACCTAACCAGAAATAAGCCAAGTTGATTAAGTATTATTTCCTAAATGCTCCTGGGGCATCTTCAGCTATTTTGGATAAACATCTCATACTCAAGAGGCTCCCAAAATGAATTATCTTCTCAACTAATGTTCTGCTTCCTAGAGTCTCTGCTCATTGTGAAGGACAAAACATTGGTATCTTCTACAACTGTTCCCTCTCTAGTGACTTGCTTAGCCATTGCTACATAAGATGAGTTTGACCATCTTTATCTCTACCTTGATCCACTAGTCCTCTGCCCCTTCCCCATTTGCCTCTGATTGCATTGCAGCAACTCTTTCCCCCAATACCAGCAGCATTTTGAATTTTAGTCTCTTTGATTCTCTCTTTTTAACTGACACTACATGAATCTTCCTAAAGGAAAGATACTTTTGCCATCTTCTCTCCTACCTGAAAAATGTTAGTAACTTATTGCTATATGCATATTTGATCTCAAAATCCTTGGTTTGCCATTCCAAATTGGTAACACTGGTAAGCTACAACTGAGCTAAATGGCTTGCTCATTACATACTATAGTTTTCTTAAGTTAGATTCACCTGTGCAGCTCCCCCCTCTCATTTTTTCCCATCATGTCTAAATTTTATCCAAATTATAAATTTCATTCACTGTACACCCCCATTCAAAACTTTGTACTATGACAGAGATTTTGAAACTTTAAAACTAATTAGCAGCCCATTGACACAAGATATACTCAGGTCACCCACCATGTAGGTAGACTGCTAAACCCAGCCAGTCTTGACTGGCTGCATCCAGCTGCTTTTCACACATAGCCTGAACCAGGTCAGCCTGACAACGTTCAGTAGCAATTTCTGTTTTCCCACTTAAAAATATATCCTTTTTTTCTAACATAATTCAAACAATTTCTACATAGTAACAGACAATAACTAGCATAATCCAATGAAAGTTAACCATGCTCTCACGATTTTGTGCTTTCTAGTTGCAAACCTGTATAAACTAACCCCTAAAGCTGATTTAGGGCTGATGATTTGGATCTGATACCCATCAGCCTACCAGCGTAATAAATAGTTGCTTTCTAATTCCTTGGCACAGACTGTCTTCCTTTGGGTTTGGTTCTGGGTTTGGAACAGTACTAGCTGTATAAATAACACATTATATATATCATTTTTCATTTAGCCTTTTATTCCTCTTTTGTATTATTTAGGTTTACACTCATATCTAATACCCAGAAGACTGAATAATTTCTGAGATCAGCATTGTTTACATTTTCCTTTGTATAATCACTAGTCACATCCTACACTGTAGCTATTCAGCAAATCACTGTTTCAAAACTTAAATATTTTAGATGTAATTCCAAACTTTATTTGAAAAACTACTCTTCATTTTCTGAAACGTAATTTTTAAAATATAGGTAAGATCTATTTCCTGTGGGGAGGGAAAGGAGATGAATAAAGGAATTAAGATGTGTTATTAAAGCAGAAAAGCCCCTTTCATTCTGTTTTTATTTTTCCAATCTGTCTCATGTCACATGGCTTCCTCACCTGTTCATGGTGAACACTCATTTCCTGGCTCTTCATCTGGACCCGCATCTTGGGCACTATGTTTCTATTTCAGTTCCCCGGTCACAGGATCTGATCTGTGCTATCAAAACCCTACAGCTCTGATTCTGTAATTCCTGCCTGTAAATGTCTATATATGCCTCATACCACTTGAAAGCAGACCCTGTGTTTCTGTTTGTTGTTTTGAGCCTAGTCAGGGCCACTGATGTAAAATAAAGCTGTTCACTGCCTCCAAATCTTGGGTGTCATTTCAATGTTTCTGCTTGCCTGAGCATCATGTACGTGTACCACGTTCATTCAAGGAAAGTAAACATTATATACTGCAAAGACGTACTAACAAAAAATGATCTTTTGAGCTCCCCCAAAATGAATGTGGGTAGAAGATAATAAACTCTATTTGTTTTCTTCTCAACGGAAATTCCAAGGTAACCCAGAGAAAAACTCCACTTGAAAAATGACTTAAAACTGTATCAAGAAAGATGTCATGACCTTGTGGTTGGCTCTGCCCCACAACTAATAGAAAGTATAATAACCTAATAATGAGTTTTCTACACTAGAAGCCATTATAAAGATTTACCTGAAAACATTTAGCAGAATATCATTGGTTCCTTTCATGTGTAAGGAAAGGAAAAACACAACACACATTACCCACCTGGCTTTTGCCTCCCCAACCCTTCCAACCACAAGAGGAGCTTTCTTTGTGCACTCACAAAACTGCCTTGCACATGGCACACTTGTTGCCGTGGGTCTTGCCATCTGGGCCTCGCACAGGGTCATTTTCTCGAGTGCAGTAAAGATTTCCATTTTGCATAAGACTCCGATATTCTTGGCAGGTATCCTGAAAGAAGGAAAGAAAGCAAGAGCTTGGGTATTTGCTTGGAAATTATTTTGTTGGGTTCTTATTAAGTCACTTCCTGAGAGAGAGAGAGAGAGAGAGAGAGAGAGAGAGAACCAAAGGAATTTTTCTCTCTGGCACTTGTATCTTTCAATTCCTACTAAGCACGTTGAATTTAAAACAAAAAACAGCGGTTTGCATTTGTCTTTCCTTGAAAGTTAGCCCTGAATCTAGTATAGAATGAAATAGAATACAATGAAATAAACTTTTAAATTAAAATGAAACCTCAAATTTTATCTAGCCCAAATATCCCTGTGTTTCAATTATGTACAATTTCTGCTAGAAGACCTGTAATGGTAAGGACTCCATTACCTTCCAGATTGCTCATTCCAAAATTTCCACCAGATAGTTGGCTCTGACAAACTAGTCAGGTTGCTACTTTTGGAAGATCTTGGGAAACAGCCCTAATAAATCTTATAGGAATCTTATTGTTTCCTAAGTTATTAAAATAGAATGAGTATATTCCTTCAGGCTAGAAAGCAAAGATAAAGTGTTATGCACTAGTCGGAAAAATCAAGGATATTTGGCTTTCTCCCCTATCTCTTAATTTTCTCTTCCAAGAACTATACATATACAGATACTTCTGCTGCTCTGTTTATGACATGATTTCAGCATTATTCCCTACTCTGCATTTTCCCCTGATCCTAATAAATGTAGTATAATTTCATCCTATAGTTTAAATCTTAAATGTTCTTTACAATTGTCATATGTTCAGAGACGGGCTCTTGGAAGATAAGTGGATCATGGGGGCATTATACTGTCAGTGGATTAAACCACTTGTGAGTTCATGCTTGAATGTTTTGTTTTGAGGTGGGGCCCGGTTAGAAGAGGGGATTGAAAGGAGGGACAAGAGCAGGGGGAAAAAAGAATCAAGACAAGTTCAAATTCCCTATGGTAACAGTGATCATTATGGATGTTTAAATGTACCAATAAAGTTAATTAAAATATTAAAAAGTTCTATTTAACACAATGGAGTATTATTCTGCCATGAAGAAGGGTAGACTTGAATTCTTTTTGGAAAATGGTTATACCTTGAGACCATAATGTTAAGTGAAAAAGCTTAGACCCACAAGCTTAAATATTCCATTGTGCTCCTATATGAAAACATCAATAGTACAAAACAAAAGACAGAGAATAGGAATAAAGACAAAGAAAGAATGAAGCTATAATTTAGCATGGAAAATGTATCTGCAAGTGTACCTTGACTTGTTATAATTGTCTTTCATGTTTTATGTGTTCTTTGGCCTATTATCCTGGTTTTCAATCTTCACATATAATAATTAACATTAGAAATATTATAAGTAAATGAATCTGATGCTGGAAAGATAAAAGGATGTGAAGGAGCTAAAGAAGGGAATTGTGTTATATACAGGTACTATTTCCCCACAGTAAGATTAATCATTATGTACGTCAAATACATACTAGTAAAAATTAAAAAACAGTAAATTTTAGATCTTAAAAAAAAGTAAAGCAAGAAACATACACCTAATGTGACCAACTGTGGCATTCCAAAACAGATACTATACTAGTTGCAATGCTGGACTTCATGTCAGGAATTATAGATTTGAATTTTATTATTTCAATTTTCAACTTTAAGAACACTGAAATTTGAAGATGGGGATATTGATGCCAATATTCTAGTCACATCATAAGCAAGTTATTTCTCTCTGTGAATTTAAATCTTCACTTTCTGATATGGAATAGGGCCAATAAGAGATTTGAAAACAAACTAGTTTTTGTGAATAAAGTTTTAGTGTACACACTCATACCCATTACACTGCATAATACACGGCAGTGTTGTCACTACAACAGCTGAAGCAGGTAGTGGTGATAGAGATGATACGGCCACAACGCTGAAATTATTCACTCTCTGGCCCTTTATGAAAAAGTTTGTCACCTCTGTACTAAATGAACTCCAGTTTTCCTAGCAGGTAGGGCCTTCAACAGTTCCATGTGTGGTTTACTGAAAAATGGCAAAACTTCACCCTTGCATTGTGATTTGGATATTCCAGGAAAACTACCTCCATAGCTTCTCTTTTAACTCTCCCTCGGAGTTTATCTTTCTTCTCTTTTGCTTCTTGAAGGCTGTAAGAGAGAGGTAAGGCAGAATGATTTGTAGCATTCAGTTCGTATTACCTTAAAGGGAAATTTTCCGTAGGTAAGAATATTCCAATATTTCTACATGTCTAGCAATTTAACCTGGGAATCAAAAAGTAAATGCATGACCCTCCACGTTCTGCTTTTTAATGTTGCTCAGAGAATAAGACAACATGCCCTAGCAAACCAGTGAATACATTCTCACTGCTGTATTTCCTTTACAAAGAACAGATACTGTCTGTATGAAGTAACTAGGATGCTAACTCATGTCAGCTTCGTAGTGCCCAATCAGTACAGCTTTGGATTATCCATGAGAATGACCTACATGCAGGAATCAAAAGGCATAATTCTTCTAACCCATTAAGTCAAGGAGAATTTGTATGTAGTACATGGTTCTCTCTTGAATACCTTCCAGAACACTAGAAAGACATGTCTGAATATTTTTATTGTAGTAAACTCAATACAAAGACAGGTTCCATTACCACCTGTAGCACACCTTCAGTGTGACCCCTCACACCCACCAGGGTTTTCTTCTAGTCAGCAGCTGTGGTAGCTGTGATTCTACTTACAAGAAGGCCTCACACATGGAGCAGGTGTTGCCATGAATCTTCCCATCCGGGCCCTCGATGGGGTCATTCTCTCTAGTGCAGGCGAGATGTCCATTTCTCATATATGGTCGGTATTCACGGCACAGCTCCTGCCAAATGAAGGAAGATTTAAGAAGCAGATAACTAAATGTTGGACATCTTCCTCCACAAGACCCTTGTGAAAACTATAACATGAAGCATAAAGTATAATGGATGTAGAGAGAAGGTCACTATTACCCAATATTATTTTCAGAGGCCTAAATCACATATTATTTATTATTTATAACAATAATCTCATTGTATGACCTTTAAATCAAACAATTCTGAACTAGCTATGCAATGTGAAAGGTAAAAAGAAAAATTTATTATCTCTTAAATTTTAAGGAATTTTTGGTATATAGTAGAAGTCCTCATCCATCCCTGATACATCCAATTTCTGATACTTGTCTCCTGTGAATCTTGTGTGCCACATAAATAAATGGGCTTTGCAAAGGTCCTTAGGTTAAGGAATGTGAGTCAAAGAGAATATTCTGAATTATCCTAATACGTCTAATGTAATCACAAGGGCCAATTCTTCAAACCAAAAGAATGAGGGAAGAGAGAAAGTGAGATATGATCACGAAAGAACAGCCGGAGAGGTGTGATGTTGTTAGCTTTGAAAGTGGGGGAAGGGGTCCAGAATGATGCTTCCAGAGAAGAGAAACTCAAGGACATCAGAAAGAAACGCAGCCCTGCCGACCTGTTGATTCTATCCCAGTGAAGTCCTTGACAGACTCTAGCCTAAAAATATCACCGAAAAATATAGAGAAATAAATATATGTTACAATTAAACAAATGATATAACTTAAAACTGAAGAAAAGTCCTGGCGTCATAACTGATAGAGTTGTTAAGTATATTTTATAAATGGGAAAAATCATACTAGATCATGAAAATTGCGTGAAATTTTGATAGAGGGAAGAAACATTGCTGATGGACAGAAAAGTCTTATAGGAAATAAAGTTTATTGTATGCTAAAGAATAGGTTAAAAGTCCAACATGACACATTCTGTTTGGCAGTTATTAGATAAAATAATAGCATGAACAATAATATGTGTAGTAATATACCTTGTGTGCTTAAGATAGGGAAACACTGTGCCACCATACATATACGTATTTTTGGGACTTCATAAAAATTTTATAATATCTTTATTTTAAAAATGAAATTAAGACACAAAGATATCTGTGATCTTCCTGGTAAGATGGAGCAAGGATTTCAATCCTGACAGTATGAGATTAGATTCACTTTTTCATCACAATATTACTGCATCCACAAGACGTACCAATGGATTGATTCTTGGCATTTCCACCAAGCAACAAATGGCTAGTATAACTTAGCCAAGAAGAGTAACATGTAGAACAGCAAATGAGGTCTTAGAGATGACAGAAATCAGGTCCAGTGTGGCATAGTAAGACCCTTCCAGGATCTTGGTTCTTACTTTGAGTGAGATGAGAAATCACAGTGATGTGATCTACCTAATATTTTTAAATAATCATTTTTCTTCATGATTTAAAACACATATTAGGGAGCAAATGTAAGTGTGGATAGAGCAACAGAAATGGGTCATTCAAATTAGAAAGAAAATGAAAATAGGAATGAAGTGAGGCACAACCTGCTGGAATATTGTGACAGAACATGAAAAAATTAAATAAAGGAGCAGTGTTCTTCTAATGAGGATGCTTCAAATATATTTTTTCACTTGGCAAAGTCATGAAGGATGCAAGGATTACATCTTTGCCTAAGAAGAATGACCAAGATCAAGAAATCAACCAACAACAAATGCCAGAGGGGCTGTGGGAAACAAGGAATTCTTCACTGTTGATGGAGTGTAGGCTGGTGCAACCACTGTGGAAATCAGTGTGAAGGTTCCTCAAAAAATTAGGGTTAGAGATTTCATTTGACCTAGCCATCCCACTTCTGGGAATTTTCCCACAAGAATTAAAATTATCATACTACAGTGATATATGTACACCCATGTTTATAGCAGCACAATTTGTAATAGCCAGATCTTGGAAACAACCCAAGTGCCTATAAATCAAGGAATGGATAAAAAAGATGTGGTATTTTTATACAATGGAGTACTACTCAGCTGTAAAGAGATTGTTATTTTTATAAGTACACAACTTGAGAACATACTCATAAGTGAAATAAATCAAACTCACATGTGTAAATACCATATTGTATCTCTAGTGTAAGAAACTGGAAGAATAACTATGATCCAAAATCTACAATAAATATTGTACAAGGTAAGAAACTGTTCAAAGAGGAAAAGTAACTGGGATAGGAGAGAGGAGCAAGTAAGAAAGGAAAAAGGAAAAAGACATAAATTTGTGTGTGTGTGTGTGTGTATACACATAAGATAGCTAAAATGAGTATACTACTAATTTTATTGATTCTTGGAAAAGAACAGTTAAATTCACATGACTAGGACAATTTTACATGTCTATATCTGGCAATCTAAGCAACCTTTTTGAAAGTAACAATATGCAATATTACAACCATTGTTAAATTTCTATCATCTTGTTTTGTAAACCTATACTGTTACTGTTTTGGGTTTTTGTTGTTATTTATCTCTTTTGCTTTTTTGTTTTTGGTGTCTTTTTTGTCTCTTAAATAAATAAAAAAGAAGAGCGATCATCAAATATACACGTGGTTATGGTGATGTAAAAACAACTACCTCTACAGCTTCTCTTTTAACTTTTTCACCTTCAATTTTCTCCTTTTCTTTCTTTTTCTTCTCTTCTTCTTCAAGTCGACTGCAACAGAGGAAGACACAAGTTGAGTAAAATTGTCCTCTGGCTTTGGTGTTATTTTTCAAGAGAGAAAGACAGTCTTGCACACCAAAGGTCAGAAGTCTTCAGGATGAATTATCCCAGGAGGGGCTATTGAAATGCTGGTGAACATGCAGAAAACTCAGCAGCCCTCTAAAAAGTAACAACAGTAAAACAAGCCTCCATTTTTATCAGTGTGAGAGCCTCGGTGCTTCTTGTTTTGGGTAGAACAGTGATTTCAATCAGTGAGCTATAAGAATCCACAGCTGTCTGGAAGATTTTTTAATTGTGAAACTTTTCTCATCTTGAGATCTCCTATATCAATGACAAATGCAAAGGGCAATGCCAGATACGACAATGGCCCATCATCACTCAAAACATGCTTCTTTATAAAACAGTGTAAATGTAATTTTTAATGGCACTAAAGCTCACATTGGAATTCTAGTTTTGGTTTAGATAGTGATTCAAGACTAGTAAGAATCAGCAGCTAATTTTTTGAGGACAATCATGAGTCTTATGTCCTGGTTTCTTGCTATTTTCTGTGCATGGGCAGCACATGAGCTGCGTAATAATCGTTAATATATACCATGTTGAGTTAATAATACTGTGCCAAAAAATTGAATATATATGACAAAAAGTCTGATTTCTTGATTGCCAGGTCATTATTTATTCTATTGTGCTACTTTGCCAGTCTTTCCTTTTAAGGAACCATGTTCATGTATTTAATGTTGGGCCAAGATCTGTGAAATTTGAGATAATTAATAACTTTGACTCTATTACTTTTATTTTTTCTTTTCTTTCTTATCAGTATATATTTGTAATACATAATGATTAAATTAAACTTAAGGAATTGGTACATACAGTGCAGTTATGATATAAATATTGTTTTCAGAGTTTAAAGAGAATCTCAGGGGGAATTAGGAGGCTCAGAAGTAAGAGAATTAGACCTGAAAATATGCAGTTGCTAAACAATGGAGAGCTTGTCTCTGGTTTACCCATTCAGCAAAACAATGATCTAGAAGGGCCTGACCTGGCTTAACAGGAAGACATTTAATTAACATCTAGTATACAAACTTGCTTCTTAGTATCTCACTCTGCATCAAGCCACTTATCACAGTACACATGCCATCTATACACAGAATGTCCTGCAAACACACACACGGTCCTTTCTACTCCAATTCTTGTTTGATATATATCCCCTGTACTGAACTATGTTTCTTTTAACCCATATTTGAATCTCTTCACAGAAATATAGAATATCGTAGGTGGGAGAGACTAGAGAAAGCATGAAATCCAGATCATGAAGTTTCTACTCTCCTAGTTATAAAAGAAGTCAATCAAGTGTTAAAACAAAATCTACTTCTTCAGTCTTTTATTATTATTACTTATTTTTTACACTAGAAAACCACTACTTATAAGATAATAATATGTCATGCATCAGCTACTCATTTGTTATTGTGGCTTTTTTTGAAATTTTGTATAATTTCTACCCTTTTCTCTGTTTTGCTTTATTTCTCTAAATTAAAAAAAAAAAAAAAAAAAAAAACTAGCACAAAATTGAATCTTTCTCCCTGACATAATCTGAAGACAGGATGAGTGAATAAGAAATAGCAATGTCATTAGACAGTCTAATATTTCTTAATGTCTGGTCCACCTATGTTTAACATTTTCCAACAAACAAGTTTCAGTGCACACTCTGCACAGGGTACACTATACATAACACAGGCTCAGAGACACAGCAATAGTGACGAGGAAGTGGACTGAGAGAGATGGAGGTGGATACTCACAATATACTTGCACACATGACACATTTGTTTGCATGTATTTTTCCATCTGGGCCAACAACAGGATTATTATCCCTGGTGCATGTGAACATCCCACTCCTCATTAAATTTTCAAACTCGCTGCAGTTTTCCTGGAAAATATTTTTATGTTTTTGTGAGATTTTTATGTTTTTATGTTTTCTAATTTTCTTGCATCTTTTCCTTTTGGATAATACGTAATATAGTAATACAGAAAAGTAAAACAGCAAAAAAGATAATGAATACATCAAATCGGTAAGGACAAAGTTCATATTATGAATTCAAAATTGTCCTGGAATTACAGCAGATTAGCAAGTATTTATCATTATCATTCTTCCAAGATACTTATAATTACAGTGCTGAAATAGGCAGACAAAATTGATTTAAAAAGCAGTAGAAAAGCTGTGTTCCTGTTGTGTTGGATATTGCAGTCTATAAAAGCTATCAGAGATCACAGCTGAGGGGTTAACTAGACCACAAAGAGAAGACTACCTGGAGGAACAGAATATTACTCTACAGTGTATATTGTTGTTACAAGGCTAAGGAAGGAGAGAAAAAATATACCCTAACTAAGAAATAGAGACACATTAGTGTAGCTGGAAGAAAGAACAAAGATGTTCCCTGGAGAAACTGACATCATTCTGTGAATAAATCCTTCTCTAGGGATTAGGATGTGGATTTGAGCCAGGAGAGTACAACCGAAGTGGACAGGAGGAGGAATGGGACAGGGCCGGGAAGATTCAAGACAATGTGTCAGTTGAAGAAACTCAATGGATGAAATATTTTCAGCTCTAAATTACTAATAAAGATAGTCCCAGCTAACCAAAAAATACTATTTAAAAATTAGTTCAAAGGTATATTTTGAACTGTGTTAGTCTTTCCCACATAATGAATAGGTTTGCACTTTTGGACATGTTAAGAAATTAAAATAATAATAATAATAAAGGTAAATCTTGCATAAGTTTGTTACATCAAAGTAACCCAACATCTGCACACAGATTTGGCTATGTTATATCTAAAATTAGAAAATTATAAAAGCATGGATGGCATAATAAAAATAATTGGAAAGTCAACAGATAAATTCTTGCTAATAATGGCAATTGCGGACAAGAAAACCAGCGCTTCCATCCTAGCTGGATGGTGAAAAAGATCAAATATGATATTATATATGCATTTTGTTCTGTAAATTGGAATAACAGAGATCTTGCACTCTCTGGTGAAAGTGACAGGAATGAATGATGCAAATTACACTCAGCATATTGCACACATTAATATTAATAATCTGACCCTAAGAAAATAAATCAAATAAAAGCCAAATATGGAAAAAATGCCTTACAAAGACAATACTCCATTTTTTAAAAAATAAATAAGGCTCAAAATTAGAATAATCATGAAATAAAAGTGGTATTATCAAAACATCTAATAAGACCCTGTTGTTTTTCTTTTTGGTTTGCCTTCTTTATTTTTCTTCTTCCCCCTCATTCCTCTTCCTTTCTCTTGCCTTCTCCTCCTCTTCCTGTTTTCTGTCTTTCTCCTTCTCTTTCTCCCGTCCCTTCCCTTCTCTCTCTCACTCTTGCTCTCCTCTTCTGCTCTGCAGATTGGGCCATGACAATGTGCCAAGCCTGCCCTTGAACTTCTATGCTCCTTGATCCTCCTGCCTCGGCTTGCCTGGTAGCTGGAATTACAGGCATGCACCAGGATTAACAATTTGTTTTTGTTATCATTGTTTACTGTAGGCATGCAACTTAAAGGAGAAACATTTATGCTAATGAGATAGAAGGTTATTATAAAAGAAAAAGTGTCAGGAGCCGTCATCATCATTTCTGAGAAAATTACCTTTGCAGCTTCTCTTTTGGCCTTTGCTCTTGCTTTGTCTTCTTCTTTGCTGTAAAGAAAGCGGGGGTGGGGGGGATGATGAATTCTTTAGTGAATCTTTGTATTCATAGATTGACAATTCACTGGTTTTTTTTACCGTTCTCAAGCAATCTCAAAGGTCCGCCCCAGTAGTGTGCCATTATATTAGATAATAAATTTGAGTGTTTGCTTCACCTCAAGAAAGCAGTGTTTTAGTAAAAGTCCCTTAATTAATAAGCAAGCATGTGGAACTTCCTGGTATATGTATTTTCTGATTCTTTTGCTTTGGTTATCGCCTTTTACAGAGCAGTCATGCTTGGCGTCTGGGGGCAGTATAGCGCGGTGGTGAAGAGTCAGGACTCTGGAGCCAGAGTACATAAAGAAAATAAGAAGCGCCTTACTCTCCCTGGCCTCCTCATCTGTAAGGGTATGTTGGGAGAGGCTTAAAGCAGAGGAAACAAGAAGCATTTTCCCATAAGAATGTTAGGAGAATTCAATGAACTGATACATATAAAACAATTGGAACAGTACCCTGCACATAATGTAGTGAATAGTATATGTAACCTAAAGATTGATGTCATCATCAGTAAACCTTCCAGAACTAGGTCTATGCTGGAAATGAGGGACAGCAGTGGCTCTTAGGATTCTGGATAAGTAGCAATGTTGACGGTTGAGCTCCGCGGTCTAGGTCTGTAGCATCATTGGACAAATGACACAAATTATTCAGTCATACTGCATAGAACCCAACATTTCAAAATTAATCTTTGAAAATGTTTTCATGTGTTCTAATAAATTCAAGGTTGCATATACTAAGTGAAACTTGAATGTCTAAAAAAATTGATACAAGTTTTCATATGCAAAGTATCCCAACAACAACTATAGAGGGAAAACCGTTTTTCAAAAAATGCAATAACCTTTAAATATCCATGATATAGGAGGTAGTAAAACTTTATTTTAGATAAAGAATTTTTATACTTATGAATGAAACTTACTAACAGAGATTTAAACTGTGTTTTTTCATACTTTTTTATATGAAAATGGTTGTAAACTTTACCACCAAAGTTGTAGCCTAAATTGACTAGAATGGTTAAGAAATATCTTGTTTCCTTCATGGGAAATTATCAGAGGCTGAAGAATCGACCACTAGGAGATGGAATTACTTTTTTGTCATGAAAAAAAGATACAGACCTTGTATCCTGTCTATAGAGTACAGTGAGAAATATATTCTCTTTCTTTCCCCTAGATGGCACCTGTTCTATGCAGACTGTGCACCATTCCTGGCTCCTTGGAGTCACAAGTGTTTTCATGCATAACTTGTGACAGTACAAAACTTGCTTCATTTATTGTGAACATGAAATGATATTAAGAAGCCTATCTCTTAGCAACTATTATGTATGTATTATTACATGCATTTAACAAAGGTTACGATAATTACATGGTGATTGTTTTAATTTTCTCTCTAACAGATTGTGTTAGTGCTCCATGGCTCAAACTATAAGGGAGAAATCTGCTGGATTATATCACTATCGGTGAAGAGCAAATAACTAAATCCATTCAGAGATTTTTATCACATAAGGAGTATATTGGGATATCCTTTTGATCAAAAACTAAAACATTAAAGCAAATCATAGGATTTGGGGAGGTCATATCATTTCATTGATTCTAAAACCATACTTTGGGTCCTCTTTAAGTGGATTTAACAAAATCATCATTCTTCTAGTCTATTAAAAAGCCATTCTTCACATTGAGTCCAATTCTGTCTCCTATGCCTTTTAGTGATTTTAGTTCTATTCCTTGAAGTAAAAAAGAATGAATTGGAAGAAAAATAGTAAACTAACAAAAAGCCATAAAATTTTCCATGTAATACAATGAAATTTCATGTATGAGCTCATTGATTTTCTTATTTTAGCTAATATATTTTATGAAAATTAAAAAGCAATTAGCATGACTACTAGAAAATATTCTTTTCTTGGGATAAAGGACTCTAGATGACTTCTAAAATTCCATCAAAGAACTTATTGTGCATGTCCCCTTTTAAAGTAAATATTTTCATTAATAAATATGTATATTTAAGGGTAAAATACAATGCATTAATATATGCAGAATGATTAAATCAGGCAAATTCACATAGTCACTTCTTATCATTTTTTGTGATGAGGGCTTTAAAGTCTATTAATTTTTGCAACTTCAAAATATACAATTAACCACAGTCTCCATATGTGAAATTGATCAGAAAAACATATCCCCCTTAAGTGACATTATGTCCTTCCATCAAAATCTGCCATTGCAGTGCCCACTGCTGCCCCTCTCCCAGCCTCTGGCTGTCACTGTCATACTATCACAACTCATCTCTGAATTATATTGTTGCAGTGCCACATACAAGTGAGATCCTGAGTTATTTTTGTGGGTCTGTCTTGCATATTCTGCATCTTTTTCTCTTTCACCACTGTTAATCTAAAAGATCTTTGCTTGCTTTTATTGTTTGTTTTTGGTCCATTTAAACATGGTACTCAAAACTGAATGTACATTGAAGAGAAGATGCACTATCCTCATTATTTAAAAAAGAAAAAATTCAAGACTTTCCAGGAAAGATCCCAGGCTCCCTCCCTAGAGCCCTGGGGTCCCTGCTGTACTCACAAGAAGGCCTCACACATGGAGCAGGTGTTGCCATGGACCTTTCCGTCTGGGCCCTGAATGGGGTCGTTCTCCCTAGTGCAGAACAGCTGGCCGTTCCTCCGGGATTTGCGGTATTCACTACACAACTCCTAGTCAATCAAAGAGGGAAGATGCAGGTGTTGAGCACAGCTTGAATAGGGCTGGAAAAATGGTGGAAATGTAGATTTGTTTTTTCTTAAAGGGGAGAGCAACAGTCAGTCTAGTTTAGAATAGTTCTTAACTTTGAGATGTGGATAATCTTAAGGAAATAAGATCCATGAACTCTCAAACAAGAAACAGTTATGCATGCCCACACACAGAAATGCAAGCCGCCCAAATGCTTCATAGAGTTTGGGGAAATTTACATGTGTCTGGCACATCATCTGTGGATTCCCAACCCCACTTTCCTCTGACTTTCTGGAGAAGGTTCTCTCACCTCAAAAGAAGTTGCATTCTTAGACTGTCGTTTATGTCTTGATTCTCTTTCTTTCATTTTCTTTTTTTCATGTTCTGCTTTGCTAAAAGAGAGTAGTTGAAAAGGATGTGAGAAAGAATCATAGTTTCCAGGTTGGAATAAATCACAAGTATGACTTATTACTAAAATTAACATTGATTACATTATTGCGTGCCTTATCCTGTGTTCATAATATGAAATCCTCAAATCTACATTGCAAAGAAATTACTATAATACCAATTTACCAAGAAGGAGTCTGGCAGGATAAATAATTGGTCACACAGAAGTAGTAAGTGTAGACTAAGAGTTTAAACCCCAGTCTAGAAGTGGTTTTAAAAATTTCCAATGCTTGCAACTGTGTCCTGCCTTTTGCTTTAATCTTCCAGCAATCTCTCTGCCTGTATCATTTGGTATATGAAAGGAGGCATCAATTTCTCTTTGAAATCATCACACTCCAAGGAGTAACTGACCCTGAGCAGGAAACTGTCTCCAGAGTTTTCCCCAGTTCCCATTAGGTTCCCTTTCTAATCCACGCAAACAACCTAGAAACAGTCCTACTTCTACACTCAGAAAAACTACTTGCCTATTTCAGAAGATCTCTTCCTTTCAGTCCATTTATCATGCGCCTACCAAATCAAGTTTACCTTAGGTTTCACTTATATTTTAAATACATTGCTTATTCATGGCTTCCTTATCCAGAAGACAAAACATGAATGACATGAGTAAAAACCAATTAGCCAGGCACAGTGATACATGCCTGTAATCCTTGGACCCAGGAGGCTGAGGCCGGAGGATCATGGCAAGTTCAAGATCAGCTTGATCTACAAAGTGAGCTTAAGGTCAGCCTGAACTGCATAGCGAGACACAATCTCAATAAAAGACAAAAAACAAACAAACAAACAAATAACTAGTGGCTTCCATACACTGATAAACAGAGTATGTATAAATTTACTTTGTACAGTGGAATTGTGTGGAATACACAGCTAAGCTATGGCATTTCAACTGTTTGTGGATATCACTTGAAATAAAAAGCTAAACATAGTTGAATAATTTGAGCTCTGCCAAATAAAGTGAGAAGTATTCTAAACTGTAAAAGAAAATGTAACTCTATCTTACCACCATAATTTCACAAATGTTTATAGTAATTTGATTCATTTCAATGAGCCAACTGCTAATTTTGGTTCCTAGTTCCCTTTATGGAAGATAAACTACTACTAAACCACTAACAGATTCACACAAACCTTGGACCCTGAAGGAGCAACTAATGTTTCCCAAGTTCACGTTTGTCAGGAGGTTCCCGTATTAGGACAGGGAGTTTTACAGAAACAAGGAATTTTGAAACCAATAACCCCAAACCCTCACTTCCATTATTAACATTCTCCACGTAACTCAGTCAAGTCCCCTTCCTATTTGGAGCCAGTTTCCTCATCTCCGAAACACACTGTGTATAGTTTCTTTCCACTATATTAGTGTTCTTATCCATCTCTTCTTCTTTTGAATCTCCTCAGTTTAAATTATTTTATTTTTGAAAGAAGTTATATTAGACCTCACATGAAATGAGATCTATGTCTCATTGTTTTTATCTGAATATTTTGTGTCTGATTTTAAGGTATTTTATATGAAAAATACTTTTAAAATGCAATCTGCAAGAGAAAAGGATATCAGTTGTGTAAGACTGAGAGGCACTGGCCGTACAATAGCATGGGACAGAGGTTATGGAACTCAAGTATCTTCAAGAAGGTGCAATGAAACCCATCTGAGACCTCTTCATGCATAATATACTTTGTATGCTGTGGGATCTACCCTTTTCCCCAAGGTAATATGTCCCAGCTAAAACAATGTGTTATGTCATTATAATGCAACATGAATTTTCTGAGAATCCCCCTTGAACTCTGTGACAGTGAGATAATCAAGAAAAACAAAAGCTTTAGTATCTGCTTTTCCCCTCACTCTGTGCAATGATTAGTTTATAAAAAGATTCACAATGATCGTGGGGAGCAATGTTAGGAAATACTTTGTAAGCCATCCTTCTAACTGGAGAATGAAATTCTCTGTACTCAGAAATAGAATTATGTCATTAGCATGTACCTTCTAGGTAAGAATAGGGATCACAGAGGACATAAGATTGCTCAGATGACTCTCAGTGCCACGAATTCCATTCAATATTATTCTCATCATTATTTGAATCAATCTTCTCTTTCTCTCTTCAGTAACCCAAAAGCAACCACATCTATACTTACAACATTTCAGCACACAGGGAGCATTTGTTGCCGTGCATCTTGCCGTCAGGGCCCCGGATTGGATCACTCTCTCGTGTACAAAAAAGTCTTCCATTTCTCACTTGATTTTCATATTCTTTGCAGAAAGCCTTTTTTAAAAAAAAGATACGCAGCTATCCTTACTACTGTTCTGCTAACTGAGAAACTTTATCATATACATTTATAATCACAGATACATTTATAATCAGATACATTTATAATCGACAGATCTGGAAACACTAGTAAACACAAAAAGACTCATTAATGACCATGAATGAGAAGTGGTCATTATTTTGCCAGATTGTTAGACACTGTGTCTGCTGAGTTGTATGTTTACTTAAAGCTAAAAGAATCTAGAGGAGAATTAGGTTAAGCAGTAGTTCCTAAAACTAGGAAGCACTTATTAATTTTTCAACTTATAGAGAAAATAAAAAATTGTTATGAGGTGCTAACATAAATCCAACATAAACAACAGCCAAGAAAAAACAAAAGTAATAGTAGTAACAAATAACTAATTAACAGGAAATAAAACTTATGAAATCACAGAATGAGATGCTTAAATATTATTTACTATGGATAAATAAAGAAAATCTAATCTCGCAAGGAAAAAGGAACACACTGGTATCCAAAAATACTGTTTATACTCCATTTCCTTTACCAATGTGCATTTCTGACATCATAGGTGAAAATTTCAAAGTGTGAATCGAATTCTTTCACTCACAGCTTACAGAGGTAAACCACCAAGACAAATATGTATTTAGAAAACCTAAAAATGTTGTGACTTAAAAAAGATTGCATCCCAGATTTTCTCATGTTGTGGCTAAGGGTTATTGGACTTCTCTCTCTGTTTAGAAAGTGCTAGCATTTGGTGAAGGCCAAACTTAACACAAGACATATCCCAAATTATTCTAGGCCTAAGGACTTCTGTGTCAACCAACATATTGTGATAACACATTTTATTATAATATGAATTCTAAAATTCCTGCATAGTATCTTCCTTTCAATTGTATGGTCCTCATTTTTTGCATTTTCACTCAGAAAAGATGAGCATTAGGGGTGACAGGAAGTTACTCAGGAAACCTAGGCACCTAAGACACTGGCCTCTAAGTGAGAGGCCATCACAAAGTCCCACTGTGTTAGTGACCTCAGCCTCAACACTCACACAGTCAGGGTTTTGCAACACAGATCTTTCAGGGCTTTTCCCAAGTCAAGTATTTTCCGTTGTTTCTTTATAGTTAATTTTCATTAGGATGCTTTCAGCAAGACTCCTAATTGAGTCCAAATTATGCTGTGATTAGTTTTGGAGGAGGAATGAACGTGCTCCAAACTCCCTGGTTGTAAAATCCCAGGAAGGTGGAAGACAGTCATTGGATCACGGTGGAGTGATAATACAACAAATGCTCAGTAATTGTCAGAGGAAGAACAATGACAATTTCCGTTTGTAAACTGTGATTCATTCGTGAAAATTCTAAAGAGACACTTTTGTGAGCAACTCACTGACAGGCTAATTATGGAGTGCGTATTGAGCCATCACCATAAAGCAGTCGTGTTCAGCCCTCCTAGGTCTAATGCTCCCAGCCACAGGGAGAAAGAGGAAAGGACGGTCAGACCTGATGGGAAGCAGAAAGAAGAATGCTCCGTGCTCTAGCACAGCATGACCTAGGGGTTCAGAACCAGATTTACCAAGCACCATAAAAGAATTGCTTTAAATCCTTCCAAAGTGCTCAGAAAACCCCAGATGGTTCTCGGAATACTTCATTTTTCTAAATTTAAACTGAGAATACTCAATTTAGGGTGGGGAACTTTGCTTAGTTAAATAGCATTAAGAAGGAGAGAGCCAGCCCTTTACTGACAAAAACCTGCGTCTGTTTATCCCTACAGAATATCACAAGCTCTACAGTTAACAAGCCTGGTGTATTTGTACAGTACAAAAGAGTGCAGAATTTAAAATCACACTCCAACAGGAAGGGAAAATCGAGGTCACTTATCCAACTTCATTATTTTGCTGACAGGAAGATTGAGGTCTAAAGATGGGATGATTTGCTCATCGAACACACCCAGCATGACAGAATGCCGACGAGACTGTAGGTGCTCTGACTTTTCCACAAAAGGCCAGCTAGTTAGTAAACTAATTGCTAACCCTCTCATTAAAGTTAGATTCAAGGGTTCAGGGAGAATTATCTAGAGTGCTTATTCAATTAGCAAAGGAATAACTTCTTAGACGAGACATAAAATACTAAAATATCAAGTGCTTTGGGGAAGAGCTTTATCTTAAGAGTAATTCTGAGCCACTGTTTCAACATTTGAGCTTTTCACTGAAGCAGAAGCAAGGTCTTTATAACTGCAGGTCTCACTGAATGTATGGGTCATGCTGGAAAAGTGGATAACTTCACCGTGTGTCAGCGAAACGTAAAACTTGGGAATTATTTTAAAATTATTTTTGCTTACTTTATATTGTGTTGCAATAAAAAGATTTATTAAAAAATGATTTACATTATGTTAGATAAAAGGCTGGAGAAAAGTAGCACAAGTTATTATGTAGGAACTTTCTGTCTTACATTCTCTTTTAGGGGAGGAACCAAAGAGCCAAGGCAGAAATTGTACATCTTGAGTCAAATGGGAAATGTGAGTCTGAATTTAAATGATGCATTCATGAGGAATAGTCAGTTTGAAGAATTTTAATATTTAAACATGTGTATGTGCTAATACGGAACACATCATCACTGCGTTCCTTCAGGTTCGAGTATAATTCTGTTAATGTTCATGGGCACAAAAACTAAGTTCTATTTGTGAGTACCTTTTCAACATTTCGTTGAATTCTTCTTTTACCTTCTCGCTTGGCATTTTCTTCAGCTTCTTTTAAACTAGAAAGAAAAGTGAATGGCTGGTTAGAGGATAAGCCATATTTACACTGTCCTGGGTGGTCTCAGCACTCTGATACCCTCTGACTGTTCAAACCAATTCACTTAGGAAGCAAGCACTTCCCAGTCTCTGCTGCCTGAGCCCAAGAAATTGCCAAAGATAAGGAAGGGCGTGAGAGTGACTCACTTGACAGTCAATGAGATGCTTTGTTCTGCAGAACTGGATGGGTGTGCCACTTGATTGACAAACAGAAAATTGTCAGGAAATTCACTTAAAGAGGCAGAACCAAGAGCCTTGAAACAATGGTGTGACAAGGGTGAAACCAGACTGGACACCTGAGCCATTGCTCTCCACACCCTTATGCTTACCTTCTTAAAACTGTTCACCTTCAAGTAAAGGCATTGCTGCTGGTAAAGGCTAAATTGGAACTGAGTTTCTAAACCCTTTTGCATCTGATATCTAATTATAGTCTCCTCTTGGCAGTGGAGATCACCAAGTAAGAAACCAGAGTTTAGAGAGGTCAGATTTTCCTTTTCAACTCTTGCATACAAAGAAACAGAAATCCACAGAATACAGGCCAGGTTTAAACACTGAAAGCAAGTAATCCAACTGATTGTCTGTCTAGAAATCAGTAATAAAGTGTAAATCCAACTGATTTTCTGTCTAGAAATCAGTAATAACCACAGTCTCCTGAACTTGATGGAACATGCCCTGAACTCTAATTGTAATTTTCAAAGGCAGTTGTAAAGTCTATTCATTTGATAAATCTTTCACTGTCTTGATTTTAGGGATCCATTAAGATAAATATAGCACTTTAAGGTTTGCTCCCTTTAGGACTAGAGTCTATACTTGTTTAACAACCAGACTGTGAAAGACTCCAGTGCCCAACCAGTGCCAAGCATGGAAAGATTAAGCCAACAGATTTTCCTTTCCGTAACACTCACCTTTTAGACTAAGAATGATTTCAGACACATGGTGCTACTAATATTATTACCTAGGATCTCTACTTATGCCCAGGTGGAGTGATAATGTCAAATGACTCACTTAGATTATTCTACATGAAAGTGCTTCAATCTTAAAGTACTATGTCTTATAAGACATTGGATGTTTTCAAAGGATAATAGTTTAAAACAATGAATAGCATGAAACTTAACCACTAATGTAATCACTTTATCTTCTCCTTCATAAGATGACATAAATAAAGGGACTGAAGGCATTCTAAGAGCAAAGCTTATTTAGCCTTATGAAGACAAAAGACCATGTGTTTTATATCACTCTCTGTCCCAAGAACCAATGATGATGCTTACAAGAGCTCAGCACACATGGCGCATTTGTTGCCATGTGTCCTCCCGTCGGGACCAAGAACTGGGTCATTTTCCCTTGTGCATCCAAGCCTTCCGTCTTCCACATAGGCCCGATAAGCCCTGCACACATCCTGAAGAACAAATAGAGAAACTTGGCATTTGTCAGCAAGATTGCAATGCTTGCAATGCTATTTTTGGAAGTTTTATAGTAGTCAGTATGTCTGCCATGGTGAAGGATACTAGCCATGTAGAAACAGATTGGAGGATACTGTGTCATCCACGGATTTAAGTATACAACTTGTTTACTTACTCATTCACTCAAGAAACAGTAGCCATTATACTAGAACTAAAGAAAAGCATAGTCCTTGCCCTCAAATTGCTCACAATGAGTAGGTGAGGTAGAAACAGAGATATATAAGAGTATGTTCTTTTTGAAAAATTTGGTACAGGTAACCTCCAGGGCTCTGACAGTACAAAGCAAAGACACCAAACTTTGAAATTTAGGAATATGGTTTGACTAGAAAAAGTCAAGTGTGACACATTTAACACCCTTTCTTCCCTACTGTCACAGGCTCAGAGAATCTTTGCAGTGAAAGTAGCCATTTACCTTAATCTTGTTTTTGTTCAGTAATTTGACCAAGATCTTCTGACAACTGACAACTACAGTGGTTTCAACTCATGTTAAAGGGTGGAAGTTTAGTTCATCACACATGAAATTTCATTCTTTTTTCTCTATCATCTTTTTCTTTTTTCTTTCTTTCAGTCTTTCTTTTCTCTTTCTCTTTCTATCTTTTTCTTTCTTGCTCTCTCTCTCTCTCTCTCTCTCTCTCTCTCTCTCTCTCTCTCTCTTTTTCTTTCCCCTTAAATAGAAAGCTGAAATACAGCTGAAGGTTCTAACCACCAGTTTCAGGAACTGCCAATTACTTTTCTGTATTATCCGACATTATTCACTATTTTATTTCAAGTAAGCCAAGCATTTCTTTCTTCCCTACATCCCACCTAAGAAGGAAGAGGAGAACGTCTGCTTTCTCTCTGAAGACAGCCCCTTCTATTTCTCCCCCAGCCACCTGTCCTTACCTCCACTGAGTTACTGCTCTCACACTCTCCTTCACTTCTTATGCCAATTTGAGATCCGGTTTTCCTGGAATCAGAGATTATAAAAGACAACAATTGACATCATTCAGTACTTATTTCTCTTTATTATATTGTGATTTTTTTTAACTCCTGAAAAAGAGTGCCAAATGTCATCCTTTTCTTTCGTTAGTTTGTCTGATGAGAGCTTGTGTATCTAACTTTAAACCAAAGAAATAGATCATGATGGAGGGCTGTGAATGGAGTTACAGATATTATTTCCAGGGATATTTTTCCTTCTGTATCCAGGGTGGGGATCCACATCAAAAGATGGACAAAAATATGTCTTAAAACTAGATAATGTCCCTCAAGTAACTTTTTGTTGCTGTTGTTACTTTAAATAAGCAAGCCCAGGTTTGTATCATCCAGCATTTCATTATACCCTGTCTTCATTGGGGTACCCTGACTAGCATTTTACCTTTTCCATAGCAAGTACCTAAGTTCCTGATAATTAGCTTTGCTCTGTCTCCAGTACAAATAACATCTAAAAAGAGAATCATTAATGTAAGGTACTTCCTATTTCTAAAAAGGCAATTTTTAGCATCTGTATAACAACCAATATATAATTAAAGCAATTCAAAAACACAGAGATTTATAAGAGTAGAAGCATTTTCAAAGTATTTCAGCTGAAGAAAACTATTATAATTAAATTCCAGTATTACTGTGGAGTCTCCTAGAAGCCAGAGCTCAAAAATGGAAGGAGGTATGATTCTCACTGTATAGTAAAAAAGAAAAAAAAAAAAATAACAAGGAATATGGGGACAGAAACTTTCACCTGGACCATGATTTAAATTAGGATTCCTCACTTAAGACATAGTAAGAATTAAATGTACAGTGTGTTCATTGGTGTGTTACAAAATATATGTCTACCATGTATATTTAGTAAGTATATATATATATATATATATATATATATATATACTTCATATGTCTACTTTTGCTTCCTGTTTCCATACGCTGATCCTCAGTGAAAGTTAAGAACCTGATTTTAGAGTGTTTTCTGAAGCTGCAGCCACATAAAGGATCACAGATGTAATACTGCTTCGTTCCAGTGAAAATATAAGCGCTACAAGTTTCCAGAATCTCAAAGAACGAATGTGAGCTTACTAGCTTTCTCAAACATTCATTTTTACATTTGTAAAAACTACAGAACAGACAAACCAAGACTGAGATCACAAACCAGGATCTGCAAAACAGGTACGCATATTGTTGGTAGAAGACAGTCAATAGCCAAATACACCATCAAGGATGGAGAAAGAACAAAACAGAGATAAAACACAAGGTAGTGAGATGCTTTATCTATGTGGCATGTGTGGAACAGATGATGATAAGAACTTTTACTATTAAAAGTTCCAATTACCTACTCTAATATTTTAAACTACTAAATACCTAATAATCACTTAATGATGAAATCGTTAGTGAGAAAACGTGCTTTGAAGAATACTCACGCATTCTCAGCACACAGCTCACATCTGTTGTGATATGTTTTTCCATCCGTTCCACAAACAGCAGCTTCACCATCATTGCAGGTAAATTCTCCACCTTTTTTTCCTCTCCTGAAATCATCGCAATTCAACTGCAAGAGATACAATCAAAGACCATCAAAATATGAAATAAAATAGCCCTTATCCACATAGATAGCCAAACATTTAAACCCGAATTAATATAAATCACAAAAAGAAAAGCACATTAGAACTGCTAGCTAATAAAACTGTGGGGATTACACAAAAATTAGGAATAGAAACATAATTAGAGTGCTAAAAAAATGGCTTCCAGTGTGACTTTGCTATGTGCTGGGCGAGGTTTGCCAGGTCACCTTCTCCAGTCTGCTCCCTACTCACTTCCCCTCTGCTACCCTCACTTTCCTCATCTGGAAATTGAGAATTCACACCCTACCCACACTCTGGGTTTGCGGTAAGAATCATATAATACTTATGAAATGACATTTGGTAACCACTATTGTGACATGCTACCTGAAAACCCAGAGTTAACATGAACTCAACTTCTATCTAAAGCTGAATGAATGAAATTTGAGGTATTTTCCTCCATCAGGCTATCGCAGTGCAAAATACATTTTGGAGGCCATCGATGTCATAGCAAGATAGTTTAATGGTAGATACAGAACACCTAGGAATATACACTTTTGATGAGATAGTATGTCGCACATATAAAAAATGAAAAGTAGGATGTGTACAAATATATAGTGAGTTTTTAATTAGGTTAGAGAATTCCCCAAGAAGATAATGAAAAGGAAAAGAGATTTTAAAATCAAAAGGAAAGGCCATGCTGTACTCCACAATCCATGTCGTATGTTTAGGAAGAATTTGCAAGTAGAACAATAAAAGTTAAGAACAAGTGAAAAGAAAATAAATAATGGCCACAGATGTCATTTCATCAATTCATTTACTCAGTCAATCCACAAAATTCGTTACACATTTATGAGACCTTAGGGATTCTCCTACCCACGAGTCTGCCACAGCAAAGACACAAGCAAACAAGCAGAAACAGAGTATTGTTCCGAGGAGTTAAGATTCCATAAGGAGGAGCAGACAATATGTACAATTTTATATTATAATAAGTGCTGCAAGAAAGCAAATTGCATAACACAATAGATCTAAGAATGATGATTTTAAATATAAATGTATAAATATTTAAATATAGGTGTATAAATACAAGTTCGATGCTTTCATTTATGTTTTACATAAAATGTGAAAACTATTTAAATATATTAAAATTCTTTTAATATATTAAAATATTTACATTTATTGAAATATATAAAGCTATGCTTATAAAATACATTGCATATAAATATATTGAATGAATGCATAGCATTTCCATATATTTATATTTTTTAAAATATAAATACATAAATACAGACATTTAAATATAAATATTTTATATAAAACTGTCTTTCTAAAAGGAACATTTGTGGTGAGAGGGCATTAGAGATCTGCGGGAAGAACATTATAGGCACAGAGCTCCACAATTTCTGTGGACCTGTGGCGGTAACTGGGTAGTTCTCCTGAAGACGTAGAAAGAAATGTGCCAAAGCTTAAAGAGAAAAGCAAGAGAACTGTTGGTTTTCTTTCAAAACTCATTTCTGGAAACTACATAAGCATGAGAAAATCATAGACTGATGTAACTGGCTTGGAGAATCAATTGTTTCCCCTCGCCAGACAACCAGCGGCCACATGCTAGGTCTCAGGTGTTGACAGGGAGGTGACAGAGTAAGTGAAAAGGCCAGCTGGGAGGCAACGAGAACAGGTGCAAGCATTTGCTACTCCACGTCCTTCCCATCCCAACCCAGGGTGAATCACGCCGCAGAAAACACCTCTTCCTCATGTTGACAGCTACTGAGTACTCACAGGTGGATCCTGACCTCCCGGAGAGGCAGAAACTAAAGAGACAGTAGAAGTTCTAGAACCTTCTGCCCTGACCCTTATTCTTGTCCCAGATGGTTGACCTTCCATGTTATCTACTTCACTTTGGCAGAAAAACAAAATGGCTTAAGCCATCATGAAATTTCACAGTAAATATGCTTGTACATTTCATGTGTAAAAGAACATAAAATAAACCTAATATACTAAGCAAAATGTACCAAGTAAGACAAGAGAAGAGAATTCCAATATACTAAAGAACATGTATTATCTGGAAAAGACTTATTGAAATGCGTAGAAATAGGAATTCCTCCACTCGCAGTTGTTTAAAAAAAGATATTTTAGTTATTTTGACCCAAATCCAGAGAAAAATAAGTTACAATATTATACAAGGCTTATGATGACAATGTTATCCTTGAATAACATAATGTTTCTAACTTGTTTTTACCACAGATAATTTCATGAATTCTAAATTTCAGAACCTAAAGCCTGGCCTACAAATCATAAGCTACATAAAAAGTTCTATATTTCATTTATCTGAAATTGTTAGAAAACTAAGGGATATTTTCTTCCAGTAGCAGACTCAAGAGTAGTTTCTTTTCCATTAGTATTTCTAGAAATTGTTATCCTAAATCTTCTGTCCACCACTAACTTAAAATAACTACGCTGGAATAAGTTATTTTCTACTGGTTTATCTCCAGGTTTAATTTTCACTACTCAGTAGATTTCATGTATTTTTCATATATTTTGTCACTAATGAGCTCCTTAAATTCTGATACTGAGCTCACTCAGTATCATCTTTATCAGCCGACCATCTTTGTAAGGTTCGGTGTCAAGCCTTGGATTTCTGGCGAATGTTTCACCAGCTTAAGATATTTCTGCTGATAGAGGAGAAAGGGGTGGCGGCAGCACTCGCAAATTCTAAGGCACCAAATTAATCTTACTTTTCCAATTTTGTCTCAACTACGGGCAGACGATAGTGAACAGCAACTCCCAAAACGTTCTGAACAAAATTGCTGATTCACATCGTCCATCACATTGTCCAAGTACCATTTTCGTTTGTTCCTGGGGATGTTTACGAATTACCACCAGGAGAAGAACCAGCCAGTACCCAGTGTCCCGCGGCCACAGGGTTTGGAGCTCCAAGGGTCCCAGCATTACGCCTTTCTACTCCCCCTGGGCTTCATCATTTTAGATGAGAAGCCAGATTTCATCCACTTGTATAAGCAATGTGGTATTTTTCTCTTGCCACTTTCCAAACTTCTTCCTTATCTTTGATTTTAATAGCTTGGTGATAGGGCCACTTTGTGCAGATTGCATTTGGGGCTTGTTGAGCTTCTAGAATGCTCAATTTCTACATCAAATTTGGGACATTTTAGGCCACTTTTCATTGAAAGAAAATTTCCATAGTTTTCATTTCTCTTCCTTTTAATATACCATAGTCCATTATAGATCTGTTGGCACGCCTGTTGTCCCAAAGATGCTGCAAATATATTGATTTTCCCCCCCTAAATATTCTGCCTCTACACTGTCATTGTTAATTTTATTAATTTCTCTTTGAGTTTGTCAATTTCTTATGCAACCACAGACACGCATTTAACTCTCTGTACTGAAATTTTCTTTTCATTTATTATGTTCTTCAAATACAGAATTTCCATTTGATCATAATTTTTTATCAAAACTCTCTAATTGTTTTTATTGTTACTATTTTCATACTTTCCTTGCATTTTTCCCACACAATTGGGATTTTTTTTTCTTTTGCTTCTTTAACTGGATTAAATCTTTGAGATTGTGCATTCCCATAATTTGCAGCTGCTGATGCATCTTTCTGATTACAAAATACTTATAATTATGGGTTTCTTCTTGTTATTGTTTTACCTTTCATGGACTTTGATTCTGTATTTCCCCCAGAAATCTTTGTAGCTTGTTGCCCTGTCAATGATTTGTCACTGTTTGATTACCTATCTCAATCTATCCATCTACTAATCTTACAAAGTGAATGTATGATTACAAACATACACAATTTTAAAAAAGAAAAAGAAAAGAGTATATGTGGAAATTTAAAAGTTTAATTTTCAAGAAAATAATAAACCAAATATCTTAATGTAACCTGATGGAACGTCGTGAATAGAAGAAAACTTATAACATTCAGGTCATTTTTATACCAAGCAATTGTCTTCCATTAGGGTATTTTGTGTCTTCTAAGTACATGTGTACTGTCTTAAAGTTGGCCAATAGTGTGTGAACTGCTTGTATCTTTGTTTGCCTATATGTGAAGACTGAATTAAGAATATATTTTTCCCTAGCATAACTGCAAACTCAGGTCATCTTTATTACTCTTGGTAAAGATCTTTACATCCACCAAATATATCTCTTGGTACAGTGGCCTGTCTACTACTCAAAGAAAGCGGTGGGTGCTTCAGTAGTGTCTGTTCACTTTCTGGAGCTCACAGCTTTTCCTGAAAATACCTCTATGCTATGTAACTGAGGCAGAAGGTTCCATGGCGGTATTCCTACACAAGGAAAACACAGACTTATTCATAGATCAGTGGTGTTTTTTGTTTCTTTTAGCATAAATGTTTCTCAGATTGGCCTAGGCTATTAACTAACATTCAGAGTGTGAAAATGATTGTTTTGGTCAAATTTGTTTAGCATTAACTCTGGTATTGGGGAAGATGATTTGCTGACATCATTCAACCACAGCCTAAAGTTCCACCTTTGAATTTCATGTAGATTTTCAAACCAGAAAAAAGAAAGAAGGAAAGAAAGAAAGAAAGAAAGAAAGAAAGAAAGAAAGAAAAAAGAGACAAAATTTTCTTCTGATTATAACTGCTAAATTTCCAAATAATAGTATTGCTATCCAGAGGCCTCGGATTTAGCTCAGCAGCGTAAGCACTTGCCTGGCAAGCGTGAGGCCCTGAGTTTGATCCCCAGCACATACACACACACACACACACACACACACACACACACACACAAAAGCTCTTCAGATCCAATAATGGATTAAAAGTACATTATGATTAAGTATTATGTAGCCTAAGAAAACAATAAAAGTTTAACTTAGGAAATATATCCAGAAATTATTTTAATAGACAAAAAATAAGAGTTTTAATAGTTTCAGAAAAGGCATTGGATAATGATAATGCATCTTTGGCTTTTTGGAAACTTTGTTAGGTTTGTTAGATGAAAATCTCTCTGGAAAAAAATCATATGTAAAGCAGAAGCTTCAGAGGTATTCTCTGTAATTAAGGAAAAAGATGGAAATTTGATGTACATTATGATTAGTTTTTAACTTTTTAATGTAAGACCCTTCCCAGTGATACAAAGAAAGAAAAATAAAGGCATACTAATATTGAGCAAAAATGAAGAACTTCTATTTTATACAGATAATGTTAATACTGCCAAACAATAAACAACAGAATCAAGGATCCACAAAACAGATCATAAAATGTCTAAATTTAAATGGCAGAATCAATATAATTTGTCTATACTGATACTAATAAGGAAGAAATACTATCAAAGCAAAATACTATTTAAAACAGCAATAAAATTTTATATTTTCTAATCACATACTAAAATTATTTTTTAAAATAATCTGTATGAAGATTTTATAAATTTTATAAAATATATAAAATTGTAAGAATCAATGGTAAATTAGTCTATGCTTTTCAATTAAGCAAGTTTTTATTATAAAAAGTTAATTTTACTAAAATTAATTTAATTATTGTGGACTCCCAGGTTCAAGTTAAATTTTTATACTCAGTAACTTTTTATTTCTAACACAAATATAAAATATATATGTTAATCAATTAACATATATATTATGTTAATCAATTTTTAGTTCCATAAACTAACAAAAAAGACTAGTTGTTAAAGCCTAGATCAAATGTAAAACAAAGAGAGAACCTAGAAACACACACATAAACTCAAATAAACTTAATATCCTGCAAAGCTGGCAACATAAAACATGAGAAATAATAAATGAATAAATTCTTCAGTTAAAACACAAAACTTCTCTATAGACCAGAAGACATTAAAAAGCTGAAACTGAATAATTGGACTGAGTTTGGAGAGACAAAATTGATTAAAAAAAAAAAAAAAACGAGTCCAAATTGGGACATACTTTGAAGGCAATATCTAGAAGACATGTTGATGAAAAAAAATAATAGAGTTAAGAAATCAAAGAATTTTTTTTCATGCTAATGAAAAGGATTTATTATGAGAGAAAAAGAAAGAGATTGTCTGTAGGAAGATTCTTGAACAGGTAGAGAACAAGAGTGTGAAGAACTGAGTTGCTTTTGACAGGAGGAATGTAAGTGGAGAAAGGAGGCAGATTGTTCTTCTTTGGTGAAGAGAAAAATATCACCAGCAAAAATATAATGCAAATGCACAAACCCATTCAAAGTTTGATAGTAGTTATTGTGTTGTTTGCTTAGCTTTGACCTAAGAGATAGGAGGAGAGGGTAATGGATATTGCAGAATGACCCTGTCTCTGAATGTGACAAAAAAGGGCAGATTTAAAAGTGAGCAATTCTTTCTGTCTCCAATAGATTACTCCTTTCTTGTGATGGGTAGAAGATTTGCAGATATCAGCCAACTCAGTAATGATTGTGTCACTATTTTAATCGTGAGACTCGTCAAACCTCAGAACAAGAATTTAGTCAACTATGTGTAGTGTGGAGGATGAGGTTCCTGGATATCCTTGAGTCATACTACCAGAGAAGACGTTAGCTTGGTTAGATCAAGGGTGTTATAAGTAATTAGGGTGTATCTGCCTTGGCGGTTCATTTTAATTATGTGTCAGGACCGAGGGTGGAGGAAGAGAAAGATGAAATTAGAGAAGAACCCACATAGGAGACCCAGAGGTGATGTTGGCAGGTGATGACAGCACCTGCTTTTACAAGTAGCTTCGAGATATTGTAGGCCAGGAATTTCCAACAATATGAGCTCAGGATTTTTAATCTTATTTTTATATTTTTACATAAATAAAACTTCTATATAAATTAAAAGATTTATCAGTGTGCAGTTTCTTTCTTTTCTGCTTCTACACTATTCACTATTCATGTTTTAATCACTGAATAGTTTCTCAAGCAAAATATGAGTCTGAGTCTCAATCTGTAGAACCGATATAAATACACAACTAAAATTGAAGTACAAGAACTTTCCAGATTTTAGGAAAGACACGGAATCAAAAGAGGCAGAATGAATTGAATGACTGCTAATACATGTTAATACATGTTAAGTACTGGATGACTTTTTAAATTTAGTTTCTCATGGAAGACACAGCACATTGAGAGAGGGAGAGAGAGAGAGCTACATGGACAACAACAATGTTGAGATTTGATCTAGTTCAGCAGTCTCAGAAAGGCACTTACTGGAGCTAGACAGGGCGGGAGGTATGAGAAATGGCCCTGTCTTACTCCACCTCTTAGCATCTGTCAGTATCTGAAATGTTTTCAGAAAGTTGGGTCATGGGTTGGGCTAATGGACAAGATGTACCAGATATTTAGCCCACCCCTGGACTAAGCCACATTCCCTCCCTTCTAAATAGCTTCCTTCACAACAGGTGCAACCTAGTAATTAGGAAATGAACAGATAGCTCTACAGAGTCAGACAGCATCCGAAAGCAAACAGGACAGGATGATTTCAGGCTCACCTTTGCCTGGGCAGTGTCTCTAGTGGCTCTTGCTAAATGTACGGCCCCTTCCTGGGATTTTGCTGCATTTTCCCTGCAAGGAAACATGGAATCACATCATTTAGACATAGCTCGTCTACCTTTGCAGAAGAATTTACATGGTAAAGTTCTTACTGGTTTTTATTGGTCTCCTCAGTTCAGTCTACCATGTCAAAAGTAGAGATATGCTCCAAAAGGGAAAGATAGCACAAATATCACTCAATGCCAAAGAATAAAACAAAACAAAAGGTCAATTATTGACTGCTATAGGGATAGTCTTACTTTTTAACTATGAGTTACTACCTCTCTGAAATATTTCCAACAGCTTCATGATCAGCAACAGTAATATTTATCTATGACACTATTTGCATACAAACTTTGAATGACTGCACTTATGCTGAGTTGAACATCTATGTCGCTCCCTATATTGCTGGTGATTCCAGCCTCTACTGCCTCAAAGAGCAAATGAACCTATTCTTTCAGTAATTTGCAGATAATATTTATATGTTGTACTCTTTCTAGTTTAACACAACAAATTTATTCCAATATATTTTACAAAGGCATTAAAAATAATTGTTGAATGAGTAACTCCAAAGTGATGAACCAACTTGTAAGCGTTAAGGTATTTTATTTTAGTTTTAAATTATTTCTCAATACATTTATTATATTCATAAATTTGATCTCATATTAAGGTATTCCCTGTATTTGTAAGGAAACTTTGTAGTCAACAATGTACCTTCTGGTTTACATTTAGTTTTCAAGAGAATGATTAAAATTATTCAACATGCCCCTGTTCTCCCAAACCTTGCCTTGTCTGGCTTCACAGTCCCACATTCTCATCTCTGGAAGGCATATATATGATCACAGCTTCATATCCCAGTATTGTTAGGTATGGCAAAGTAAATCCTTCAAGGAAAGCAACCTGGCATTTTAAAATGACAGTTATAGTATAACTATCTTAAGTTACTATGTTCAGTATTGGATTGGTACCACTGCTGAAATTTTAAGCGCAGTCAGAATTGAAGATGGAGTCTCAGTTCACAAATCAGGGAGGCTGAAGGTTGAGCTCAGTGGTAGAGTGTTTGCTTATCATACAAAAAGCCCTGACTTCACTATCTGGCACCACAGAAAAACAGCAGCAGCAACAACAACTTCTCACAGAGAATCTTAAAAAATGCAAGATCAAATTGAAGCCATCTAAAAAAAAATAAAAGGTACACTGGTTTGAGGATTTGCAATTGATAACTCAAATCTTCTACCTTTGGGGTATCACTGAGAGAAAGAAATCAAGTAAAAGGCATTGTTGGATAGTACTTAATAAACATTAAGATGCTAACTCTTTCTTTCTTTTACTTTTTTTCCCTGTTACTCAAAGTCAAACTCAGGACCTTTCTCTTACCAGGCAGATGCTGTTCCACATGGCTGTATCCCAGCAGGATGCTAACTCCTAAGTTTCAGGCAGCTGGAAACTGTATTTAGTCCACCCCATCACCCCGGACGCCCAGATGTTGAAGACACTCACAGGCCAATGTCTTCTGCTTGGCCATCACAAGGAGATTCTGGTATCCTTTAAGGGGATTTTTTTGAACCTCAGCTACAACAGAATTAGGCCTTAATCTAGCCTAAGATATTTGTCATTTTTCCTTAAATTATTTTTTACAAAACAGTTCAAAGTGGAACTACATCCTCAAAAGACTGTGAACACCTATAAAATATTAATTGTGACTACTTTGAAACGCCTTTGGATTCTAGGAAAGATTATTAAGATTATACCAAATGGCACTTTGCTAATATTATCTAGTGGAAGGTGTCAGATGGTCAACTAAACATTTCATTTAGTTATTCAGGTTTAGAAAAATATATCTTGAAGAAAAGAAGAGTGTATTCACTACCTCAGGGAGTAGCAAGTAAGAGAAACATTACTCACAATATCTTTTTGCATGATGCACATTTGTTAATGAATGTTATTTCATCAGGGCTTTGGAAAAGCTTTGTATTTTGAGGACAGAACAATTTTCCATTTTTCATCAATGCCTGAAATTCACTGCATGTTTCCTGAAAAATAAATAGAATGCACTTACTAACAATACATTTTTTAAAGAGACTTAAGAACTTTCATGAATAGTATTATTTAATGGTCAATATTCCCTTGTCAGAAGCAATTCATTTCATTGATATGAATAACAAAAACCAAAAAAATAAACCTGGGTCATCTGTTCGAGATTACAAATTCAACTAGTTGAGATTTATGTGGTACAATTAGTAGAATGGAAAGAATAGAAAACATGGAGTCAAAAAACATGATATAATATTCCCAGTAATACTTATTTACGGTCTAATAGCTTTAGTAATTAATTTTCAAAGGGTTTTATAAACTAAAATAGGGATCTAAGTACATGCGTTTCACAAGAAGATTAATTGTTGTACATAAAGTGGATATTCATTCAGTAAATTTTCTTGTCTCATTTTTATTAGGGTAGTGGTAGAGTTTATTATTATTACTAATGGAATATACCAAGATGGTCCATTAAATATCTACGCACTGTAGACCAACTAGCATTTGTGTGAACGCAGTATGAAATTTTTGTGGACTGAGACAATCTGTCAGCCCTGGAATCTTTAAGATACTTCTTCCTACATTTCCCACAGTGTATACTATAACAAATCAGGTCCTAGAAATGCTAACAATTGTCAAATGAAAAAGACCACTTTAGTCATGTACGTTTGGAAAACAAGTTTCTACACTGGTTCATTGTCTGGAAAAAATACCCTCAGTGTGTGATGCATCGTTTGACCTACGAGCACAGACAGACCTATGCAAAGCCAGGGAGGCTGGAGTGTTTTCAGGACCACTCACTGTCATTATTTCTTTTCCCCAGACCTTGTGAGAGTCTAGCCATTTTGTAATTTCAAATTTTTACTTTTTGTTAAGTAGTTCCACTTTCAGTCCAGCAACTAGCACCATCAAAGTCACAACTCTGTCACTACCGGTAAAAAGAAACTTGGTGAGTCTGCAGAAGCAATGCACTAATGTCTCAAAACTCTCTCTCTTCCTCCCTCTCATTTTATTTTTGGCACCGTTTCTTATTCTGTGCAGCATCCTGTGCTGTATTTCGTTTGGATTTTCTTTTTGAAGTGCCAATGGTTATACTGTACCAACTTTGGTGGGGAGAAGTAGAAACCACACTGAACACTAAAACTAATGAGGAAACATGCAATAAAATAACCTTTCAAAGTGAGAGTTCTATATCACTCATTATATTTTATTGAAGATCTGTTTATATGTCACTCATTTCTAATTTAAAATCAATGATACACTTGTGATAGGTTGTAAAGTGCTGCTTTAAAATGTTATATAGGCCCTCTTAGTTTATAAAGGCCTTTAAATCCAGACTTTGAATCCAGTTTTGTTCTGTTCTGTTTTTGACAAAAGAAAAAAAAAGGAATAAATAGATGTTTTCATTAGAAAATGAATAAAGGATTTCCTCCAATTCCTACAAACATAAACTCTCCCAAAGCATTTGTTATAATATTCTATTGCACCTCTTGTAGCATAATAATTTACTCCAAGAATCATTTATTATGAGCTGTCTGCATTTTGTAAGATGCCACAGATACACAAGTAAATTAGGCAGATTTATCCTTGACTGAAAAGTGACTATAACTCAAATAGAGAACGATGCATTTAATCAAGTTTCATAAGCATGGTAGACAACTGGTAACCTTTACAGAGTGATAAATAATAAAGAGGAGTAAATAATATCAGAGATCAGCTGGGAAATTTTGCTGAGGATGACCTGTTGAAATACCTCTGATTATTATCAACAGTTTGTGATCCTATCTGAGTACCAGAGTAGTAATTTCTGGCAACAGATTAACAACTGGGTATCTTGCAATCTGTGTCTTGTCTCTGATTCTACAGTATTTTATGCTAACTTTGCAATTTACTACCTAATTTCCCAGATATGAGAGAGTCCATAGTCTTGAAAATCTTAGATTTGAATGGATTTTCACAGCAAAAACAGCTCTCTTGTGAAGTCAATCTTAGAGAAAATATAAAGACCCATGATAATATTGGAAGGAAGATCTACAATACTTTTAAATGTCAGTTATTAAAAACTAAATCCATCAGTATAACTTCTGAATTGGATTTCTACAATGTCATGATAAAATGGTAGCCTAAGACCTAAGCAGATCTACTTTTTTACAAATGGACATTGATAATTAATTAGGATTTTGATCATAATATTTAATTTGTTTAGATGAGGCTCAATACTATTTTCTGAGTTACAAAGTTTTTCAGTATTCTTTCACACATGAGGAAAAACTGCAAGCAGAAAGTGTGAGTTATGTTTTACTCTGGAGAAAGCAGACTGTGCTCTCAATTAGTAGAAAAGGGAGAACTGAATCAGGAAGAAATCCATACCAACAAACCATCTTGACATCTGGAAATGGAGTCTAACTCCTGGCTCTCAGCATAATTTTATCCTGCTGTTGTTGCTGTTCATATTTTCTGCACGTCACAGAAACACTGGATCCACTTTGAGCCAGTGTTCTTTGTTTACTTCTAGCTGTGGTCTAATTGTTATCTTCCATTCTCTATCACAGACTCATCTCCAAATCCATCGCTACAACTCAGTGTAAGAGCACAAACAAGTTTGCTTTGACCTCACAAGCTTAGGATTCTTGTATGTTGCTACAACACTTTTCCATGCTGATCTGGCTCATGTTTATTATATTTAACATGTTTTTGAGGTGCTAGAAAGAACTCAATATCCTGAATTTGGGAAACAACAAAAATTCAGTATCATCAATATTCCTTTTTTGGTGGCCCAATAACTAAAGCATATGATTAGAAAACTTTCCAGAAAAATCCTTTCTTCTTTGTGGTCCTGCCTTTTATCCCAATATGAGGTGGCTGAATCCACACTGTTAAGTATTTTTCAGTGAAATTGAGCTTCATGACACGAAAATTAGCTATTAAAAATGTTTCAGTTAGCACTCAAAACACAGAAAAATAAAATGATTCTTTTACTCAGTAAGATTTGAACAATGTCATCGTTTTTTCCAGTGTAAGAGATCCAAAAAAAAACACCCTCTCTGGTTGCTCTAAATCCATCCTTTTTGCTACTTTACCAGGATTTCAGCCCTCTCTTTCATCAGCCAACATAGATGAAGTAATAGAGATTATGATGAAATTCTCTAGAACATTTCTGTAAGACATTTGCTTTTTAACAAGTAACAATAAAATACAACAAGAAAGTATTTTACCCATAGTTCAAAGAGTTTTACCCATAGTTCAAAGTGCCAAGAAGAATTTATATCACTTCCTATTATTTAACTGTTCAGGGTCTTTGAGAGATATAGTGAAAGTTGCTATGTACATAACACGATTTTAGATGCCAAATTAACAGCACACATAACAGTGTGGAGAAGGGAAAAATTGGCCCTTTTAACTTTTCTTTCAAGTAGTAAATTTTAATTTGTATTAACATTGATTTGTCTATTTCTCAATCAAAAGATATCCTGCATCAGTGCCTCTCTCATAGTGGGTATCTCCCTGGCCTGCCCCTGGCTGCAAAGGTCTTCACATTCGCTTCTGTACCACCTCCAGATCCTTTTTGTGATACTTCATCCCCTGGATGTCTGCTCTGACTGTCCTAGTGAGAACAGATACCACCTTCATGCTCTGGAATTCCTCCAAAATCCTCATTTACTTTTCTTTTAGCACTAGTTTGTACTTAATTTAGTACTATATGTTTTACTAATGTTTATATTCACTTGTCTCTTGTTCTCTACTAAAATGTAAGTTTCAAGAGGATAAGATTTTCATCTAGTATGTTCACCATAGAATATTCTCAGAATTTCATACGGGGTCTGATACATGACAGAATCTCAATACATATTTATTGTATGAAATCTATACACTGGTAATATATACTAGATACAGAAAACCCCTTTTGGCATTATAATTGCCAGAAAACATTTTCGCTTCCTGTATAGTGTATGGTGTGTTGTGATTTTGCTCAGCTGCTAAATGGTACAGCAGTAGTTTGTTTAGTTGATTTATTTTATATTTATAGAATCTCAAAACACTTCTTTAGCATGGTACAGCACCTTTTTCAGACATCTGTCATCATTAATATGTTCACTGTGAGAGAAAGAAAGAGAGAGAGACAAAAAGAGAAATTCACAGTTTGTTCATAAAAGCCTGTTCCAGTGTTTTTAACAAAAGCTATTAGTACCTATCAGTGCAGTATGTCTGCATTATTAACACGAAAGTGTTGGCTACAGTCCATTTTGCTTTAGAGCCCTTGGAATGAATTCAATGAGAAAAAGCAGGACTGACCTGATTGGCATCCTCACTGACAGCATCTGGGACAAAAATGCAGAAACCAAAGTTAGGGGACTGTAAAATATTCAGTAAAAACATCAAAGAAATCACTCAGTGCTGCGTTTTCACTGCTTTTATGGTAATATATGGTAAAACCACAAGCCATTTTTGAGGACATCTAGATTTACCATGGCAGCTGAAATGAAGGCAGGCTCCTAGGAGATTAATACACACACTCACATACTCCAATCTCTCAGAAATCACAGCAAGTCATAATACTGTGCTTTCTGACAAACTCAAAATATGTGATTTACAAAAACGCTTTTAAAGTATGGTAATCTTCCTTTATAAGTTACAACATAACATACATATGATGAATATCATACCACTTTTAATATATTTTAAAATTATATCATGAAGTTTATATCACATACACACAAAAAATTCCACTTTCTGAATTCTGGCTAACCTATCATCTAATCGTAGTTACAAATATTAGATATACAGTAAGATTAACTAAAATCAAAGACTATTCCACTCTCTCATTCCTTGTTGTCTTGTATTTACACACTCATCTTTGGAAAGTATGCATCATTTTTATATAATGATCTTACTGACTTTCTCGCTAAGGTTTTTTTCTTTAAAATGTAATGATTTGAAACAAGATAAATCTAGGTAATCTGTTTTTCCTTTTTATAAAACAGTAAATTTTAAAACCTAAATTCTAGCTTCCATGAAGTACTTTATGGTATAGAATCAATACTTTAAATCCATTAAGAATTTGAAAATGTAAAAATAAGAAGAAACTACTACTTTAAAACAAAACCAGATGGTTTTAGGTTTTTTAAAATTTTGTTTATACATGTAATATTAAATGCATGTTATTTACATATGTTTTACATTTCTAATATAGCTTGATACACACACATATGTGTGTATATATATATGTATATATATATACATATATATGTTAATATACTTCATGAGAGGAACATTAAAAGGCATGAAAATTCTTCACAGAGCAATATAGAATTAATCAAAGGATCTATCATGGATAAAAATTTGCTTGTTCTCCATTTACTTGCCTTTTCTAAATAACAATGTCACTATAAGTCCACATACATAAATATTCAAAATTCTATGTATGTAAAAGATTTTATATGTAGGAACACATAAACACATACACACACAAAAGTGTAGATGGAGAAAGGTCCCTTCCTCAGGATTTCGAGATGTGTGGGTAGAGATTAAATTGCATGCAAATTGCTCACCTTGTATAAGGCAGAGAGCCAGAGTCAGAAGCACTGGCACAGTGACTGTCTTCATGGTGCAGGTGATGTAAGCTGGCTACAAGTCTGCTCTGTGCATTGCTCAGCTGGTGCTCTGAGACTGAGCTCAGGAAACACGGCTCACTTTTATACATACTGGCAGTACTGGTGACACACACACATAGAACCAGTTGTTCAGGCTCATGCTAGGCTTTAGGTACCACACCAATTTATCTTCTATCCTTTAGGATCATGTCAAGGTAGCAGATTTGAACAAATCACGTCTATTTCTGAAGCAGTAATGTGTTTTCATTGTGCCCCTGGCCCATACTGAGGGCAAAAATCTAAGTTTAAAGACACTACTGAGAGTTGAAAGTTCCATAATCCTATGTGACAGCTGAGATCCTCAGCAGCACCAGACATGCTGCTTTGTGGATAAACTTGTTTCTATTTGGAATCACTTCCTAAGTGGGAGGGGAGGAGAAAAGAACACAGATTGGCTGTCCTTGCAGCCAGGTAAAGATTTAAAGAGCTCCATGCCCAGTAAAAGCAGTTTATGCTGAGAAAACCAAGGACTGCTGTTACTTCCGTCTGTGGATATTCTGAACTACCTGAATTGATTGCCATGACTCAGATATACACTAGAGAAGAATGAGCTTGAAACAGAACATAGTAAAACTGTAAAACCGAATGCTTGTGAGAGCAAACTTAGAGAAGGTTGCACTGCTTTTCCAGGATCTCACAGTGAAGATAGGAGAGGCTGAACCTGTACCCCGACAAGCAGAAATAGGTTCACCTTTCTGTCCAGTCCACACTATTTCATCCTTGACACAAAGGCAGAAACTCTATGAACCCAGAGCTTGTATATTACCAGTTTTAAAAATTTTCAACCTGAAGGATATTTTATCTGAAACCTAATCTTATGTCCTAACCAAATGTCATATCCATAAGCATCGAAGAATCGATTTAAATTTCCATAGCCCATAACTATCCAAGTTACTGTTTGAAAAACAAGACATAATTAGTTTTCCCTAAATTAAGTTTATTGTCATATAATCCTATATTTACTCTCCCAAGAAGGAAAGATGAAATGTTATTAAAGGTTATAAATATATAAGTGAAACATTTTTGAGTAACATCTTTTGTCTACCAAGTTATTTCACTATGAGATTAATCTTGTCACTTGAACATGCAAAAATAACTGAAGCCAAAATCAAACGGACTGATGACAGGAATCTCAGATTCTTCACAACCATAGAAGGAAAATTCTATGGTATCATCAAGGACATGTTGTAATTGTCTCAGGAAGCTTATCAAGACTGACCAGCTAGAGAACATGCCAATACTCGTAGAAACATCAAGTAAGAAGAGTGCGTCCTTCTTTTGTTCGCTCTTCATGAAATAATTTATTTCCTATAAAAGTGTAATCATTGCTTTTAATATCTTCATGTCCATAATAGCTTTGCTGCTTTTCAATAGTTCAGTAAAAGCCGTGATCACAAAGAGCAAGTTTAGGTTGTGTTACTGTTGGAGGCTAGAAAATCAAAGTCCACCATAGCTTAAGGGAAAGACAATGGGACAAAACAATGGCATAGTTAGCAAGGCTATTTCTATTCCTGTGTTCGCAACTACAGCACATAATGAAGATGAACCATGCTTTGAAACAAAGTAGCTCTAGGTCTAAAAGTTGACTCACCAATTGCTGTGCTACCTTAGGAAAAACCATTTATTTTCTCTGGGCCTGTGTGTGTTCGCTACTGGCAGTAATAACAAGCATGAGTGATAAACTTTATAATTAATTAGATGTGCTTTTCCCATTATAATGATGTGGTTCTGTTAGATAACTTGTAAGATTCCAAGAAAAATCAACATCTCTTCACCATGGATCTCAGTAACAGACTTAAGTTAACTCAACAGAGAATCATGCCCTCAATACATTTCACATAAAATTAAAACAAAGGATACCTATGTTCCCTTTATTTTCATAGTTGTAGTCATTGATTCTTTCCCTATAAATTCCTCTTCTAAATATTGACATACCAGTACTAAATTGTGAGGCCATATAAAAAGTATCTCAACCATATACTCTGTATCTGGTAGCCGGAAAGTTTAATGCCTTGCAATAAAATAGATGACTGTGTGATGGACTTCCATGAGCCCAAGTATAGCTTAAATGACTATTATTCCTAGGAATTTACACAATTAAAGCTAGCAATAAAAAGTATCAGTACACATGACAAAAGGAAACATGTGACTTGGTTAGTTTACACAATTAAAACTAGCAATAAAAGAGGATCAATACACAGGACAAAAGGAAACCTGTGACTTGGTTAGTTTACACAATCCATGGAAGCTAGCAGAAAAAGTATCAATACACATTGCAAAAGGGAACCAGTATTCCAGGGAGTGGAAGCGGTGCTAGGGAGAACAAAAGAACCAAAGATGAGCACCTCTTTGAAGAATCTCTGCTATGAGGGACTGTGGAAGGAATTGGTTTCCTTCTTAATGCACAGAGCCTTCTGAGCGGGTAGAAGAGGTTAGGAAGTCTTTCAAGAGGAGAAGGTGGCCACAAAAATACCCAATGAGCACCCCCATTGTGGAAAGTACCCATCAGAGGCTCCTGGATGTGGGCTTTTCTCCAGTTCATTTAAGAAATGTTGAAATCTAGGAGTGATTCATCCAATTTTCTGTCAATTACTTCTTATTTCTAAAAACCACCATAGTTATTAAATTCATATAAACAGGAATGAAGTTTTGAGGAACAGAGACTTAGATTGATCGGAGTATTTTTCTCAACTCAAAGTTCTGTTTTCAGCTCTCTTAGTTATTCACAAAACATGCAGATCCCCTTTTGTCTCTCATTAGAAAGGAGTTACATTATAAAAATGATGAATCTTATGACCCTACAAATTTATCAAGTGCTTCATAATCTGAATTCACATAAGGGATGTAGGCACAGAATAACAAAGTACAAAGTTAACAAAATTTGTTCAAACCATTAATGTTACTGAAAACAAGTATTATTTCCAAACTCCAAAATTAGTTTTTTTTTTTGCTACACAGAGAACTCTTTGCTGATGACATCTTCAGTAAACTACAGTTCCTTATAATTATATCAACTTCCACAGCTTTCAAAACAATCTTCTCGTCATTAGTTCTCTTGATCTGTCTGCAGTGTTATGCAGTACCAGAGTTGTTATGATTATCCTCTTCTAATGTACCAAAAGGGTCCCATTTAAAAAGCTTAAAGTAGGAGGTAGCTTGAATCACCATCCTGGTCTTGATGCTTTTATCTTTTGTGCTCTCAACCACTCTGAAACCTTATAGATTCCTCATAGACTTTCATGCAGTTCACAGAAGCCAGACACTGCAATCTTTTAAACCAACAATAACATTTAACCACTAAAGAAATTCATTCATCTGATCTCCTATGTGCTGTCTCTCTCCCTCTCCCTCTCCCTCTCCCTCTCTCCCTCTCCCTCTCCCTCTCCCTCTCCCTCTCCCTCTCCCTCTCCTCTCTCTCTCTCTCTCTCTCTCTCTCTCTCTCTCTCTCTTTCTCCTCTCTCTCTCCAGATTATGATTGGTTTTCTAGGAGATAATTCAGTCACAAGTTAATCTGTGTTTCCTCAGAGGCTTTAGAAGTTATTCCACTCTATGAACCACAACAATTTGGCAACAGCTTTTACTGGCCTGATTATCTCAAGGTGATTTGTTAGCAACTACACTGCTCTATGAGGATTTCTTTCCATTTGTCTGGAAAGATAAGGAAAAGTTACAGATAAGTATCTTATTTTATCTAAGAATAGAATGGGATGGGCATTGCTTGTCTACTATTTATAGACTCTCCTATTTATAGAAATAATTATTGCTTGTAAATTAAGATTAAAAACAGGACTATTTCAGCTTCCACCATGCTGCTTGTGTGTTGGTGCCTCTAACCATGGACTGAACCCAAGAAAACTGTAAGCCAAAGTAAACTCCTGCTCCTTTAAATTGTTGGCGCGAGATGTGACTAATACACACACACACATAGACCACAGGAAAACACAGAGAAGGCATTCATTTCAAGTCAAGAAGAGAGGCTTCAGAGGGAATCCAGCCTGTGAACACTGATCTTAGAGTAGTGAGAACTGTGAGAACATAAATTTCTATGTTTAAATTTCCTAGTCTTGGGATTTTTTTAAATAGGAGGCTTAGCAAATTAGCTATTTACCATATATAATGTGAGGCCTAGTTGAGAAGTAGAATCAGAGAATCCTGACCACAACTTATTCTAGGAGAGAATATCTATTGTTAAGTAGAAACAACTTGATATTCAACTTTCACAATACAGTTTACATTTTGCTTTTGTTTTTTCTTGGTTGATTTTCTTGTGTAGATCTGATCTTCCCTACTCCAAATGGCCTGATGTTTGATGTCCTTCCACAATATGTACAACAGAGCTGGACAGGTCCCAGACTTCGTCTGCTTTAACCCAAACATTATCATCCCCTCAGAAATTTTCTTCTGTGTTATTTTTCACATCTAATGCATTTATACACTGCTACTGTCCCCTTGTAAAATGACATTTTTTTCCACTGGGATAATCTTTATAGGACTCCACACAGATCAGTGTTCTCTAGGAGTCTTTCCCTGAACCCATAGAGCAGGTTCCTCCTCTGGACTCTTACAAAATACAGTATCTCTTTCCAGACAGTGCACTGTGACATAGTCTTGCAATTGCCAGTTGACTTTTCTATCTATACATTTAGTTAAATTCTGTTTTAAAACATAGTGACTGATTAAGTGAAAAACAATATTTGGATATTGAATTCACTTTTATAATTTTAACAAATTTTGATAATTATTGCCTTATACATTTTCATTGTTTTAAGAAAAAAGACTGGAGTAAAAAATAACAACAACAACAAAAGCACAACAACTGAGGCTTATTGACTCAGGCTGAGCCATAAAAGTGTTAAGTGACAAGGCTGAGACTCATGTCTAGGGTTAGGACCTCAAAATTAATCATGCAGCAAGTTGAATAACACTGACCAATGTGTAAATGATGTCCTTGATTTATTAGTTAGGAAAAAATAAGGAGAAAATCAGTAATAAGTATGACATAAGGGAATTCTCAATATATAACATAATTAGTAAAATTTAAAATGTTAGCAA